TACTATATTTATACTTTTTATATTTGAGTGCAATCGGTAGTTTAGTTTGGCAGCAACTTAAATAATAATTACAACTTTAACTATATGGTAGGTTTAGTATTAATAAGAAAAATCAATATCAACCAGAAGGAAACAATTGTAAACATGAAACCAGTGAATGAAGATGCAGTAAAGATCGTGCAACGATTCAACGAAATTCAGCTAACGAGTAACGACGCCATAGACATAAGAAAATAGACGGAGCGTCCAATATATTTTTGTTGATCTCGTAAAAGATAGAGAAAATGTGCTTCAGCAAAATTTCTACCTCTCACATAGCAATAGGAAAAAATAGAAACTCTGTCGAGTCTCTCATTTGGGCACTCGGTCTATTCTTATATGTAGACTGCGAATATTTATCCAAGTAATCTATTTCCAATGTGACCGTAGAAAATGAAATTTAAATAGGAACTTATTTTGTATTTTAAAAATCACAATGTATACAATATGCATTTCATTGGATATCAAATCGTATATATCGTTCACGTACATAAACGCATAAAACCCACAGTCTAGTTATTTGTCTATGATGAATGCGTAGGAAGTGAAGATTGAACGCTGCACGATATATATAAGTAAAGAAAAGTACCTGGAAACTGCACATCAGAGTCTCGTCGACGCTCATCATCCCGCCGGCGTTGTCGAACTCCCCGCAGTAGTTCGGCGCGGAGAACAACGTGACCAATTGCCGTTTCGCGAAGAACTCGTAGCCGTCTTCGACCACTTGATGCGCCCTGCATATCAAGTCCATGTCGTGTCGGCTTAAAAACTTCGACACGACGTCGGGGCCAAACGTGAACGACACCCCTCTGTCGTTCTCGCCCCATCCCTGCAACAATCAAGCGAAACGGTCTTCTTGGTACACGTCGTGGAGAACCATCGATCGTTTCTTAGAGCAGTGAAACTATCGATAACTGTCCATTGTGTAACGATAGCTCCTCCAGCTGTAGTAAGCCTTGTGTTGCGTCATGTAAACGTAATGGATATTACGTAACGAAGTAATGTTATACCTGGACTTCTTTGTCTGGATCCGACCATAACAAGTCGCAGAGGAGGCCAGTGTCAGGTACATCTGTCGGACGCATAATTCTCTTGATCTGTTCCATATTCTGTTGGCAAACAAGACGAGACAAACGTATTTACTATAAGTTTCGAAGGAATTCAGCTTGCAGGTTTATTTATAAAAATACGCGAACGGGTGAAAGATCGATAATCCGCCTCGCGAAGATATTCGTCTTGCGACATTTAATCGGGGGTCAGACTTTAAATATTTTCCTTCTTACGTTAAGTATAAATAGAAGATCGATACTCTCAGCGGTATATTTTTTTACAGTATGGACGTTCGAAATAAAAATGAAATACGTCTGTTAAGGTAGTCGTTGTCCTACTAAATTAGGCATGAAAATAAAATGGAAAAACTACGATGAATTTCTGAAAATCATCTATTAAAAGAGATGAATTTTGATCGTTGCATTGTGTGCTATAAAAATTAGTGCTGTCTTCAACTACCTTAAACGTAAATTTCATTTGCCTAATTGATTCATGGCTGCAGCCAGCTTCGAACATTGGATTATATAAACCTGTTAACAGTCGCGTGCGAATAATTTTGCTTGCGACCAGTTTTAGCACGCGAAAAACCCGAGATAGAATTCTGTTCTAAGTATAGAGCGCGTATGCTCTCGTCATAAAACTTTCTATTATCTTCGCATGTACCTTAAGGACGTTCGCGTGAAAATTCATTTTCTTCGATCATTTATGAAATTTACAATAAACGTTAATTAAAGAGAGTAATGTACTCTGATAGTAGAGGAATAAGGCAGAATATCATTAGATTCATAAAAATATGGTTTTATGCTATTCGATTCTATTTCTGAGAGAATCATGTTAACAATTACGTAGATACGAATGCATTTAAAGTTGAACACGAGTGCTTCTCGCGAGCGTCCTTGAGTACCTGCGACTAAGAAATAGAGCAAAATCTAAGGCCTCGACGGTTTCAGTGACGATTCTCAAGTCACGTAACCGGTTTGATTTCTCGCGGAATCGTCACTAAACGTCGATACGTCGACTAGCCTAAAAATGGAGAAATTGCGGCTTTCTAGTATTTTCTATGCAGTGCATATCGCGGTATCGACAAGGCCAACACACCCTTCATTGTGATAAATAAAGATTCGCCTATAGTACAGATATTCAAATTCTTAATACCTGAAGGTCTGGACTGAGACCACCGTGGCAACAGAATATCTTCTCGTCGATGATCGCCGCAATCGGCAGACAATTGAAGCAGTCGGTGAACGTCTTCCACAGCTTGATATTGTACCGTCTCTTGCACTCGTCGTAGAACCCGTATATCCTGTTTATGCTCGCGCACTCGTGGTTACCGCGTAACAGGAAGAAGTTCTCCGGGTATTTGATCTTGTACGCGAGCAACAGGCATATCGTCTCCAGCGACTGCTTCCCTCGATCAACGTAATCCCCGAGGAACAGGTAGTTCGCTTCCGGCGGGAAACCGCCATACTCGAACAGTCGTAACAGGTCGGTGTACTGGCCGTGGATGTCGCCACAGATCTTAAGCGGCGCTTCGAGCTCCAGGAGGATCGGCTGTTGGAGGAAAATCTCCCTGGACTTGAGGCAAAGTCCGCGCACCTCGCCTTCGGACATTAAAACCGTCTTTCCTGGCCGGCATCCTCGAACTGCGCCGAAAAATTCGTACATTTAAATGCAATTTCCCTCTCGATTCTCATGTCGGGTTTGGGGGTGGGTCGACGTCGCTCGCGAGAGTCGCAATTCTGTTTTTGTTCGGGTACATCGAGCATAATAATTCTACGCTGGAGCATGAAGGTGCGATTCGACCGGCGAGTAACCGATTTCCAAAAGGGGGCAAGGGCAATACGATTACACGGATCGTTCCTATCGTTCTCTGCTTTTATATATATGTATGTATACGTACTTATGCACACGACATGGTTCCGGGGTTGGCTATCTAACGAGTTTCGATCGGCTTGGAAAGGTCGTTATTTACAGTCAGTTACCTACTCTCGCAGCAAAGAGTCCAGTCGATCTCATCGGTGGGAATTTCGATTCGGAAACTTCCACGAATGTATGAGCTGCACGATTTTTACTGGTCCATTCTCAATAATTATTTTTAGACGATTATCGTCAGAGGTGGACTGTAAACGAGTTCTCGTGTAGTCCGAGAGGATGTTCGATCCTGATAAAAACATCAAGCGATGCGATGCATAGGTATTCGTCTGATGCAACAATCGGGAACACAAAAGGTTGTCGCACACGCTGGTAGTTATAATGCTTCGAAAGGATTAGGTGACTGTATGAGTTCGAATAATGCGTCGTATATGAGCGTAAACTTGCGGAATAGTCGAAAACAAAAGCTCGAAGCCAGCTTCGCTTCTTGTCACGTGTATACACACCCATTGATCGTGACACGCGGATATACCACCAGCGAAATTCCTATAAATACTCTAAATCGTACTGCGTTTCTTTTTCTGCTTTCTTAAAAATCCAATGTCATGCATTTTATTCAAAATAACATAATCAATTTAGAAAATGTAATCTGGATTCAAATTTACTGATCTATTCTATGATTTGTATCTCGTTCAGTTCCTCATGTTTGTATAATGATTTGGTATCAATTCACAAATAACAGAAGAACTGAAGGAAACCATTCGTACGACTGTTAATGGGATCTCTGTGTGCAGATAAAAAATGTTGACACAAGAATAACACCGTGTGAAAAAAATGTAAATGGTCATTCATTAATGAATCCTTACCTATTGCTCAAGAAAGTTAAATAGTAAATTAAAGCAGATGGTACTATAATTACTCAATAAAAATTCTACCAATTCCCAGAACTAGAAACTCTCATTGAAAGACTGTTTCTATCGACATTTGATCTTGAGTCATCTAAAAATACAGGAAAAAGAAACGCGCTTATACGAATTTCGCGTTCACTTTGCCAGCTACGCGGCTTAATATTATTATGCGAAAGAGAAAACATGAAAATTTCGTTCGCATATTATCTCTTCCTCGGAACCTTGTATCAGTGTCACTGAATTATTAATAGCTACAAAAGAATTTACGGTGCGGTTAAACTGGGCCGGTGGCTGATTTATCGGAAAACTCCGTATCAGCAAGGTCACATCAACGGGCATCTAAGCACCATGATTAACATCGAGATAGAAACGTGAGAGACAGACGGTTCTTCTGCCGGAAGAGCGGTAAAGATTTCGTAAACGGTCTATTAATATTCTACTTATTTACGGAAACTGAACGTATTTTAAAATCGTGTTCACGCACGACACTTTAAGACTCTCGTTCTCAATTCTTATCAATTCGCGTTGCATGTAAATTTAGCGATAAGTACCGTGAAACACGCAGAAAAGATCAAAATAGTCGTTCTTCGCCAAGCGTTGCGAATAATTTACTTCTTTGTGTCTCTCGGAAGGTCGAACTTCTTATCGTATGATAATACGTATATTAATCATCGTTTAGATATAACAAACTAAAGACGGTCACAACGAACAATGCTGGAAAGTGTTGCGATTCATACATTTATACAAATTATGCTGGGACGTCCAAGTAAACACATTGAGAAAGAAAACATATTTATTTGTGCTGGAAGAGCTTTAAAACTGAGAAGGCTGATTCTCGAGAATGAAAAACAAGTAGTACCTCCGTAATTTTCAGTAAAAAACCAAACCTCGTCTCCTTTCAAACACACCTGATTTACAATCAGTTAATTTTTATGTAGACTTGTAATACTGGTTGTGAGCCAGAGAACAATTACTGGTACATCAACCGTGTAGATTGTTTTTTATCGTACACTCCTGCATTATAAAGATTTGCAGGATTTAGGAGACATGTCGAATTCAGTCTACGGAGGTACAAACTGTCTTTACAGAAGCTGAATTAACACTGACGAGTGTCACATATTTGAAGCATGCAATTAACCAGCGTTCAAGCAGTGTTTTACATGCAACTTGAATCTCATTTTCCTCCAGTGAGAAGCGACTTGAGCTGTACGTTTTCCTGAACAGTTCCAAAAGTTAATATTGAAAGTTTTATTAAGGTGAGACTATTATTGGGAGTTTGAACGAGAGCGGAGATGATTTTAGGATCTTATAAGCTAACACAGTGACTGACACGTTTGTCGATTCTGGTCGACAGAATGTATAACAAAAAGAGTCTAATGATGTGAGATAAAAAGCTGGTGAGGCTGTTACGAATGCAACGAGACACAGTCAGGGAACGAAGACGACACACGAGTAGTTGGAGTATCGATGTTGCAAGTGCCACAAGACTATGTCTAGCTTCTACATCATTTTACAATTGTAATGTCATAAGCAAACGATTGCGAGAGGCGTTCACGCACGACGTTTAGGCAGGTATGAGATATAAAATATAGACGCAACTAAATAGAACGGAGAAAAGTAAACTACTATTTTTGGGGTAGTTTCCTTGTTGTTGCGTACCGACAAAATCCGACGAGAAAATATCTTTTAGCTTGGCTTTCTTCTGAACCTGGTCTTTCTGCGTGTGGTATACTTTACCGCGAAGAGTTCCGAGCATGTAGCATGAGAAAAAGAGAACAAACAAAAGGAAATAGTTTCGAAACCCTCTGAGAAAATAAAAAGAGAGGCGCGGAATAAATCCGAACAGCCGACCGGCAACTTTTTTTTAAAACGATCACGATAAACAACATTGAAAAATCGATATCGCTTCATTTTTTCCTCTCTCTCTCTGTCTCTCTATTCTAATTTTCTTTGAACGTACGTACGTACTGGCCCCGCGAGTCCAACGAGGAAAAAGACTCGTGCGATAAACCGGGTACTCGCGTAACGCGCAAATATATCGAATGTCACAGAAAACTATACGACCCGCACAATTTTAATCTTCCTTCGGCTGGAAAGAAAACTGTATACATAATCTACGTACGTATATACTGGACGTCCGCGGCGCGACTTCTTATCGAACGATTTTCACTGGGTATTACCGTAAATATTATCGCGAGAACGTACACCAATTTGTAGATGACATTAACGAAAACCAATTTCACACTTTGTTTAAATAGGGGTCTCGCTTTTTATCACGTACCTTCCAATAATCTTTGTATCAGGTTGTCGACGTTCAACTCGACATCCGCCATTTTTTCTTGTCACTGACTGACTGACCCGATGTTTGTAGGCCAGACGATACGTTTGTGTACGCATTTAACTGTACGTATAATAACTCTCGCGTCGATTTTCATGGAGGCACGTAGTAATCCGGCTGTATCGATAGCCAGTGTGTGTGTGTATGTGCGTCTCTGCACCTTGAATACAAGAAAAATCATCTAACAATGTATAAAACGTATCATCGATCCAGATAAACGATATTCTAATTTCTTGCTTCGTATCTGTACGAGACATCATATTTTAGTACTCGATCATTAAACAGCGGATTTTAAAATACATTTTTCAAATTGATAAGTTTTATTTTCCATAAAAATCCGCAGTCTGTAGATCATATCAAATTTTTAATATTAAGATTTACAACAGCGTACCATACATTTACGTTTCGATCTCTTCGTCAGACTTTACAATTTCGAATAGCTGATCGTATAGTAATTATGACTGAAACACTTATACACGCACGTTCGTACGAGACAGAATTTTGAAATTACTGTAGTCGAAAACGTATATTTAAATTGTACTGTATTTGTTAAAAGTTTGCTTATTTAATTAGATTCAAGTATGTATAAAATTGTAATTAAGCGATGGTACATCGTATTTACAATAAATGATGTGTGTCGTTTTAGTGTGAATCGATCGATTTTTGTACAGTTGCAAAACTTAAAGAACTAAATTTGAAATATCTCAAACAATATTCAATGATCTGTTATAATTTTCTCTTAAAATACATCGTCCCAGTGATATCGCTAACAATATACACAAGTTTCGGAAATAAAAGTTGTAGCTCTTTTATGAGATATATTGCTTGATAGGATTGAAAGTATTCAAATCGCTTATACTAACTTAGGCGTACTTCCTATGATAATCGGGTGGCGAGTCTGCATAGTCTTGTTGGAGATTGAAAAGCTCGGTATTATTTTTTTGTAAGTATTGTAAGAAATCATGGAAATGAGATAATAATAGTTGTATGCTCCTTTCGTCCAGTGTCGTGTACGACAACATTCCTCCGAGTCTCACTGGAAAAATATTGCAATTAATGTTCCAAACTGCAGGTCTCGCAACATCTCACAAAAAATTAATTTGTTTGGTCCAATATTAGAAGAGTTATTCTGTTTCGAAGTGTTTTGTAATAGGAATCATTGTATACTAGAGAAAATTATATACCAAATAGCCTCAGTAGATGGAATGCACCGTATAATTGGCTGGGCAGTGTTTCAGGATTCTCATTCATAATTTGGATGAACTGCGGTCGTTCCCACTTGTATAACAATTGTAAGCCTAGCGAGATGTTGAAGTATTCGCGGATACCCTTCGTTATTTCTAATGTACTTTCTCTGGAAAAATAATGAAAATTAAGTATCAATATGAACATTAAATCTGCAATCTAATCATGTTTAGATAGTGTTGATATATATCTACCTCACAGAATCACCTTTTCCTGATGATTTCGACTCTACATAATCGTCTAAGATCTTGTCTACTGTATTTTTCACAGGTAAAGCAGGTAATTTATGATGTTTCAATATTACTTCTGATTCGTCAATGAGCACATATTTCAGTTCCTCAGGTATTTTAATTTTAACTTCAACTTTAGTCAGGTATTCCTCTGTTTCACCCGATGGCTCTAACCGGCTACAATAATTCGATTTATAACATTTTTAGAAATGGGTCAAACGTTTCAGTGAAAATAAAACTGCACTGGAACACGAACCTTCGTTTCTTGCGAGGTGGATCCGAGGATGAATCATGAGACGAGGATGGCGTCGCGCTACTACTAGTACCTTTACTGAAACGGCTAACATTTTTGTCAACCGGTGCCACAGGGGTACTAGCTCTGCTATCCGTATCCTTTTCACGTGTTCCTTCACTCCTACGGGCCTGTGTCTTGGAGGAAGTGCTTCCCTTCTTAGTTTTCTGAGTCGACTGCTGGCTCGAATGAGCTCTCTGAACCTCTCTTTGCTTCTGCACGTTCGCCTCGTTGTACTTGAGGACTCTACTCTCCGGAACCCATTCGTCCCAACTATTCGCATTTCGTTCATATTTACAATTTCGGACTTTAACCTTACTACGAACAGATTATGAAAAGAGACTCACTTCTTGTTCCAACCAGCATAGTGAATGAAGTATTTAATTTGCTTCTCCTTGGTAATGGACGACTTTAGGCATTTAGCTTCGTAAATTAATGGTCCGTGGAAACACAATACCTTCTCCCCTGGAAACGAATACGTATTTATTAGAGGCAAAATCAGGAGGAAGGTTCATATATACGTAGAAACTTTGAACAAAGCCGAAGTAGAAATGAACGATACCTTCTTGGAATTTACACTTCGGCGGCATACTCGCGTCCTTTGAATTACTTATTTTGGCAATTGGCTTTTGGCTCGTCAGTTTTGAAGATCGTCAGGATTTCGCTAGGTGATACGCGCCAATGTAAACAATTGAATTTTCTTTCACTTATCAATGTAGAGAGGAGCTTCGAAAGTGCCTTGTCTCGGATTCCTCACATCGAGCGGATCGAGCGTGGTCGAACGCCGAACCCATAATATGTACCAATACCAATACCAACAAAGCCCGAACCCTGAGCCTGAGAAGACCAGAAAACCACGCTTTTTCTAAACCAGTATTTCTCAACCTTTCGTAGCTGAACAAAGCAGCTCATAAACGCCTAAATCAAATATAAAATAATTTTGACCGGAGATTTTTATGAATTTTCTGAATTTCTCTTTCATTTTATATAATAAATGAACATTTCAAAAATCTCCGTGCTTCCTCTATTATAATTTTTATAACAGAGAGGATATTTCCTTTCTCTTTGTATAGTTGACAAAATTTTGAGAAAAGAATTGCTATTCAAATAAAAAATGTACAAATTCTTAAGTTGACTTTCATCGCAATAAGTTAAATTGTATATGTTACAACTTGTAAGAAAGTACTATGGAAATTACCGTGCAACTCCAACGAGTGCGATTTTTGAACATAAGAAAATATGCCCAAAATATATTTGCCCAAAAATGGAGTGAGAAACACTGCTCGTCCACCACTACCTGTCACCCAGGTCAGCTATCCCCTTCTCTCTGATGCTTTTGTCCCATCACCCAGACCCAGCAACGATCCGTGCATGTGTCCACGATCCATGTAGTAGTATTCAACGTAACGTAGAGTATTGTAAATAAAGAGTATTGAATAAAAAAATATAAATGGACCTTAGGCTACGATAGAAATGTAACTATATTTTTATATAAAAAGTGCGTCCGTTAATTGTGTCAGTCTAAGCAAAGAAACTTCGCTGATTTACTTCTCCGAAGAAATACAACCTGTAAATATTGTATTCTTCGACTAAACCGTTGTCGAACGATGACCTTAAAGATTGTCACCAGTGTGTTTGCTTATGAACTGGTTTGAAATATTGTTTGTGTTCAATAATTTGTAAGAAAACACGTAAACATGGATCAGATGCTACCTAGCCCTGGGTTTAGTATACCCAGCATAGGTACACCTTTACATCAACCAGAAGAGGATCAGCAAATTTTGCCTAATGCTCTGCAACAGCAGCAGCAGCAACCACAACAGCAACAGCAGCCTCAACAACAACAATCCCAGCAGCAGTACCAGATGCAGCAGTTGCAAACGATGAGTCCAAGCATCCAAGGTGGAATGCTTATGATTGGAACGCCACAGAAGACAATGCATTCTTATGGGACTACGTCTACATTTGCCACACCACAAAGCCTTATGCAACCTCAAACACCAGTAAGTAATTGAAGAATTTGTCTGACTTATGATTCAATTGCTTGATTTGGTCTTAACGAAATTAATTTGATTCTAGCAAAATATGATGTCTCCTTTAGTACAAAACAATAGTCATATAGCTCCTCCATCCATAGGACCATCGACTCCTGGCCCGATGACGCCTATGACTCCTGCTTCAGCAGACCCAGGAATTTTACCACAACTACAGTAAGTGACTTTGTTCAAATCCAGGCGATATCATCTTCGATCTTAACGATATAAATATTACAGGAATATTGTTTCTACAGTTAACTTGAACTGCAAACTAGACTTGAAGAAAATAGCTCTGCACGCGAGGAATGCTGAATACAATCCGAAGAGATTCGCTGCAGTTATTATGAGGATAAGAGATCCGAGAACCACAGCTCTGATATTCAGCAGTGGGAAGATGGTTTGCACTGGAGCGAAGAGCGAAGAGGATTCTCGATTGGCCGCGAGGAAATACGCCAGGATCATTCAGAAGCTTGGATTCCCTGTTAGTAAACAGTTATTAATTATTTTACTGCCAGGAAAACTGGCAAAGGATTGAGTTGCTAATCTAATTCGATTTCCTTTTAGGCGAAGTTCCTCGATTTCAAAATACAGAATATGGTGGGCAGCTGTGACGTAAAATTTCCAATTAGGCTTGAAGGTTTGGTACTCACTCACGGACAATTCTCTTCGTACGAACCGGAACTCTTCCCTGGGTTAATATATCGAATGGTCAAACCCAGGATAGTATTGCTTATATTTGTATCAGGAAAAGTAGTCTTAACAGGTGCGCATATATCATTTATAATTTATCGCTTGTCTTATTTAATCTAACGTTCCGATTGTTATTTGAACAGGAGCAAAAGTGAGGCAGGAAATTTACGAAGCATTCGATAACATCTATCCCATCTTGAAGAGCTTCAAGAAACAGTGACTTTATTTTTCGATATATGTAATCACGTCGGTAAGATATTTTGTAAAAGAGTGCATACGTTAACAAGTAACTGGCGAATCTCTGAGAACGGTGAACGCGATCGGTAGCGTTTACACTTGTCACGAAATTCGTTCTCGCAATAACTGTCACAAGTTACTTGCTAACATATTCGAAGCTTAAGATCGATGAAACAATTTCCAAAGACAGATTTTTCCAATTCGTCAGGATAATTAGAAAAACGGAAATGGGCCACGTGGCGGAAATCTTGTGTCTTCTCGATAACGCGGTGCCTTGATCGGGAGGTAGTCGCTACGTAAGAGTTTCTCGTTTAATTTATATAATATCAATTAAGAAAGTTACTTTGTTCATGCACCAAATGTAATCAACGTCCTTCCGATCGAATAGAATTTGTCGTTTGTAAATAATAGCGGCACGAGGAACGATGCATCTTGAGACCGAAGTGATAGTCGTAAGATTATATTCTTGAGAATGCTCATAACTCTCGACAGATTCAGGCAGCATTTTGATACGTCGTAGATTACATGATATGCGGCTAGATACATAACGATCCTACTTATTGACGAACGTGTTTTTATTGTACGAAATATACATTTCATTAGAAAACATTTCTCAACGTCTTTCATTCAGCCATGCATCTTCATAATGGTTTTAACTAAGCATTGTTCGAGCACAGGGCAGATATCTTTGTTAGCTGCCGTTAATACTTCTGTCGCATGTGTAACAGAGTCAACGTCGACGCTTCCGATTAATAATACTTCGGTAACTTGATTATGTTGCGGAAGACTGGCTAACGTTACGATACCATGGTTGAAATCAGTCTCATTATCTGGCCGGGTGTTACATATAGCTTCCTCAGTATCAGTTGGATCCATCAGATAACGATCACCGTATACACCCTACGTTCTCAATAGAAATTAAAATGATATGAGACTCAGGAAATCGATTGAATATCTTTTAAAACAGATATAGATAACTGTGAAACAAGTTGTTCCTACACTAATACTCACTATAGTGGAAGCAGTGACTAAACCGAACATAGGAACGCCGGCGTTAGCCAGGGCAGTGCTAGCAGCTATGATCGCAGCTGCTAACGAAGATCCAGCATTATCTAATACCATTGCATACACGTCAACTTGAAAGTTGGGAAATTCATTCTATAAGAAAGCATCGTGTAACAGAAATCTAGTCGATTGATTCTATGTACGTAAAAGTACAAATATTTACCAAGCATACTGCTGGTTCTAACGCTCTTTGCAAGATCAAGCTGTACTGCTTCTCCTCTGCGTTCTGCTGATGAATCTTTCGTTTTTGACACGAGAAAGTGGCAAACTTGAATTCACAATAAATCTCCCCTTGCTCGCAATATCCATTCTTGTTTGGCACTTCTCGAGGATCGAACACCGAACAAATTACTTTAGTGTTCCCCATTTCTATGTACGCGGAACCCTTTGCTTGACTAACGATACCAGTTTTTAAAACTGTAACAATAAATTATATGAACACCGTCGTGGATTTTATTTAATAGTAACAATTACGGGGATCTTACAAATTTTTCTCATATCACTATTAGTCCGTTTATCGTCCCTTTCACTAAGATCATATTTTACTTTCTCACTCGTGGCATTTAAATCAGAATAAATGTGATAGGGCACGGACACCTCAGGACCGTTAATTCGCCTCTGGTCAATAGGCATTATTATTTTTTAATTTATAACTGAAAGATCAAACAGTAAACAAAGACTGCGTTCGATCACAAACACGTGTTACGCTACCCATTCCTCGACTCTATATAGGCGAATTTAGAATTTATTTATATATTTTATTATCATATTTTAGATAATTTCTTTCCAGTAAAGTTATAAATAAGCTTCTCATCTGCATTTCACATTGAACGAAGTAGGTTCAGATTTTAATGTTGATCGATTAATCATATGAATCACCCAGGATGCAACTCGAAATTCGCCTTACGATTACGACTCTCTCGCTTTCACTCATGCCGATGGAATGTCGAGCACATCGAAGAAGAAGGAAGAAATTAACCTCTCCAAAGTCCTGATGATCATATGGTTCTCCCCAGTTCCCCCTATTGATGATATGATATACATATGACAGCCATACTCTGGCTGAATTCCGGCTTTGACACAAACACATACGTGACTCCCAGTATACGCATGTGTTAGTATGTTTTTTTAATAACAATCACTCGTATGGAGCCATTAATATGCATTTTTGTTCCCCTTTTAATTTAACCGTGGCCTCAACGAACGTACAAGTGGAAACCAGTGAACAATGTCGCACAAAGTGCTACGCGTTTACTATCAAAACCTGTTCGCTCTATTCCTGCTCGCTTTCACTTTATTCATAATCCTGACGGCTATTTATCATATAATTAAATTCGGAGGGACTCAGAAGCAATCGGAGCACACTGCGATCGTTCTGAATGATCTCCACAGTGCACCGATTCAAACGATAGACTCAGACTCGTCTTTGGCACTGGCGACGAACTTGACCTGCACTTACTTCAATTGTTTTAATGTCTATCGATGCGGGAGCCAAGGAAACAAGCTACTGGCTTACGTGTACCCGCCCAGGAACTATGTGGACTCGAACGGGAGAACCATAACTGGCCAAACCAGCAAAGAATTTTATCAGATCCTGAACACCATCGTATCGAGCAAGTTTTACACTGCAAACCCTTATGAGGCTTGCATCTTCATACCTTCGATTGATACCTTGAATCAGAACAGATTGAGGGGTCAACAGGTATCACAGGCATTGAACTCCTTACCATTGTGAGTTCGTACTAAGTATATACCAAATTAATATGGGAAATAATGAAACTACGATCAACAGGTTTCCAATATATATTCTATATTATTCTAGCTGGAACAATGGAGAGAATCACTTGATATTTAACATGGTTCCTGGCAGTGTACCAGATTACAACACGATTCTCGATGTTCCAATTGGAAAGGCGATGATCGCAGGAGCTGGAATGTCTTCGCTGACCCACAGGATCGGCTTTGATATCAGTCTACCTGTTTTCAGCCCTCTCGTTAATTTTCTGGATTCAAATTTCAATGATACTAGGTATGCAGTCTAGATATATATTATTATTTAACTTAGTCTTAACATTCGTCCTTTTTCAGGAGGTGGTTAGTGATTTCATCTCAGATGAACATAAATTCTGCATTTGAACAGGATTTGAACGAAGTGAAACTGAACTCCCCTACTGATATTCTAATTCTAGGAACGTGTCCTCATTACAGTGCCATGAACAGCACTATTAGATGCTCCAGCGAGGAAGAGGTTTACAAATATCCAAGTGTTCTCCAAGTACGTAGGTTTTTCAAAGTAAAAAGTAAAACAAGAAATTAGAAGAAGCTCTACTCAAACCAGAAAGGGAAATCGATTATTATTTATCGTTAATTAAATAAAATAATTGTTTTCAGACTTCCACGTTTTGTCTAGTGATTCGAGGGGCAAGATTGGGTCAGAGCACACTTCTGGAATGTATGGCAGCCAATTCTATCCCTGTAGTTATAACTGATTCGCTGATCATGCCGTTCCAAGGAACGATCGATTGGACTCGGTGAGAAGCATGAAGGAAAACTATTAGTTCCCTTCGAAAAAAATACGTATTAATTATTTGTTCTAGGGCTGCGATATTTATACGTGAAGTGGACATTCTGTCTATCGTTCCGGTATTGAAAAAGATCTCTCTGAAACGAATTAACGAGCTGCAACAGCAAGTTTCGTGGCTCTACAATAGATACTTCAAATCGATGGAAAAAATAACTGAGACGACTTTGGAAATATTGTCCGATCGAGTGTTCCCGCATTTAACAAGAGATTACACTTATTGGAACGTTCCACCGCACGAGGAAAGCATATTCATTATTATTTTAAATCAACACTCTTGTAAAGGAACTTTGCGATGTCGTCGATATTTCGAGGATAAGGATCGCGATTACTATTTTACTTTTTCTACAGGATCCCAAGTCTCCATTGTTCCTACCCGTGACCGTGCCAAAGACGAAAGGATTCACAGCTGTTATTTTAACTTACGATAGATTGGAATTACTATTTTTATTAATCAATAAATTAATCAAGGTACCAAGTCTGTCGAAAGTCCTTGTTATATGGAACAATCAACGGAAAGATCCTCCTCACTGTAACTACTTCACGATCAAAGATGTTAACGTTCAAGTTTCTTTTTTTACAATCTCTTTTCTTACAGCGTCCAGGTGGCCGAAATTGAATAAACCATTAAAAGTGATCCAAACCAAAGAAAATAAGCTTTCGAATAGATTCTATCCGTACGATGAAATCGAAACTGAAGCGGTATTATCAATAGACGACGATATAATCATGTTGACTGCTGACGAGGTGGAATTCGCCTACGAGGTCTGACGATACGATTTGCATATCTTAATTGTATTAAATAGAATAAACTGATATGAAACAAAATTCAGGTATGGAGGGAATTTCCGGACAGAATAGTTGGATTCCCGTCGAGAATCCATATGTGGGATAATGGAACGAACTGCTGGAAATACGAGAGCGAATGGACCAACAGTATCTCGATGGTTTTAACAGGAGCGGCTTTCCACCATAAAGTAATCAAACAATTTATCTGTATTATTCTATATTAGACAGCGGATTTTATGCACTTGTAAGGAAACATTACGAATACTACGCGTAACGTGCTATGCACATTTCAATACTTTGATCGTGAAATAAAAACCCGCTGTCTAATCATTAAGTATCACTAAACAATCGTCCATTTCAGATCCCCTAAAAGTTCAATTATCCTTGTCCATCCCGAGACCTAACGCACGTTCATTTTCCGTTCGTCACCGTCTCTCCCAGGCTGTTTATATCGTTCATAACAATCGATCGAACGTCAAAGGACTTGTTCTCCTCGATCGAGTGCCCTGCTAAACTTATTCGTGCCCAACTCCGGAGTTCGTAACAATAAAGGAGTATGATTTTCAGTACTGGAATTACATGTACACAACGGCCATGCCGGGAGATATTAAAGAATGGGTGGACGAGCATATGAACTGTGAAGACATAGCAATGAATTTTTTAGTAGCGAATGTCACGGGGAAGTCTCCGATAAAGGTAAGCACGTGTGAATCAATTAATAGCGAGTTCCCAACCGATGAAATTGTTTCATTTTACACAAACTCCCCATTCTACTAATATGTGCCATAGGTAACTCCGAAGAAAAAGTTCAGATGCCCGGAATGTACAAATACCGAGATGCTCTCAGCAGATTTAACGCACATGTTGGAAAGAACGCAGTGTATTAATAAGTTTTCATCGATTTACGGTTCTATGCCGCTACAATCCGTCGAGTTCCGAGCCGATCCAGTTTTATTCAAAGACATATTCCCCGAAAAATTGAAGAGATTCAACGACATTGGCAGTTTATAAGAATTTTTAATAAATACTATGAAACATGAGAAACAACTGTTTATCTATTCTTATTTATAATGTCACTAATTTTTAAGCGAGGAATAAGAATAAAATTAAAATATAATGTAACCCTGTACAGTATCGAAAAGCTACGAAAAAAAGAAGAGAATTGAGGAGAAGTGTACGATAAGAAAAAAGATAACAATTTTGGTCCTCAGCATATGCAGGCGATGTATACTGGCGAAAATAGCGGAATACATAAAATTAATAATGAAACACGATTCTAGAGCAAGAAAAACCGAACGTTATAATATTTAAAAAAAACGATGGGAAATCCAACTGCTGATTATATTCGTACAATAAAGATTTCATTACCGATTTGTAAATCAGAGAGAAAATGTAAATTATTGATTTGATTGCTCATCTATTGAAACTCCGATGACCACGGTTTAATTTCGTGTTACATTTTTCGAACAAATTTGAAAATTTGAAAGTCATTCCAAAGATCGGTGTAAATAACGAATAACAGAAAGTACAACATACCCCGAGAGAAATTTGATTGGTCAACGAAATACAGTTCATCATGGAGTACGTCGGTACGTACTAACTCGACGATTTTCTGTGCTTTTTCTTATTAATTTACAATGAATAAATATTTTTATTCATTATCGTCCGTTGCATTTCGTTCTGCGATCGCTTTTAACACGAGTTAACGTTTGTTAGTCGAAAGAAAGTATGCCGCGGGACGTTAGAATCAGCAGCTGTATACTTTGAGTTTCGTAAAAAGCATTTGTTACTATCGCTAGAACTCTGCACGTATCTATATTTAAATTAATTTCTTGACCGCAGAGCATGCAACATTCGCTAATATTTATAAATGTGTCGTGTCTTCTAATATTCCGTTCACAAATACGTGTCACTTTCGACCCAACCTCCTCTCCATCATTTCCCTACCGTCCAATTTTTCCTTTTACAAATCCACTCTTTCGATTCGTATCCAAGCTTCCTGTGCTTACATTTCATCAGAAATGTTTATACTAAATCACGATGTAAATTAAGCATCAGAAATATATCTTTGGTACATTAAGTTTGACGTATGGGCTTTTAGAATGCATTAGAAAATATCAACGGAACGCATGTACTTGCCAGAGATGGCAATAAGATTACTTCCACTAACTTTACTAACCCCGAGGAGCACACGACTCTTACGTGAGGAATTAAATTTGTCATATTTTCCAGATGCGAAGAGTGAGAGCAACGACAATTCTTGTAACTCGACTCCTTGCCCTGAACTAGTATCGAATACAAATTGCACTGAAAATTCGTCGGTGGTGAGAAATGACTCTACTCCAAAACATCAGATCCACGATGTACAAAAAGAAGATAATAACGGTGCAAGCACCACTGCTCAAGATCAACCGCGAGAGAACATAGACTTTAAAGTAATTTATAACAAACAGAGGATTAATGTGAATTTCCCACTGGACGGCAAGGTGTCAGAATTAAAAAACCATCTCGAGAAAATCATATCTGTGCCGCATGCTATGCAGAAAGTAATGATCAAAGGATTAGCCAAAGATGATCAGACGTTGAGAAGTTTGGGTGTTACAAAAGGTAATTGAAACGAACGTTCTTTCATCGAACCAATATTCATTCTCATCTAATCCCCTGCAGGTGCCAAAGTGATGGTAGTAGGATCGAAACTAGATGACGTATTAGCCATTTCAATTCCAACGAAACAGGATTCATCAGACGAAGCTGCTTCCAGCGCAAATAAAGAGCCGTTGTCTCAACAAAAAATGCATAGGAAAGTACTGGACAAGGGTATGCCAGAAGACGTGATGCCTGGACTACTAGGGAGCAAAGTATGATCTACTTCAGTTAAGCTAATAAAATTATAGTAAATGTTTCAATTTCTAATCACTCCCTTTATCGTCTACAATTTTATATGTAATTTTAAATGGAAATTGAGATACACACGACGTACTGAGATGATTGTTTGAAATTTTAGGAACCTCTACCAGAATTCCCTCTGGCTGGTATGTTGAATAAATCCGGTGGCAAAGTGAGATTAACGTTCAAGTTGGAGCAGGATCAGCTTTGGATCGGTACGAAAGAACGAACAGACAAAATACCTATGAATTCTATAAAAGGTGTACATAGCGAGCCAATTCACGATCATCCTGAATATCACATCATGGTGTGTATCGTAAAAACAGCTTCATAAGTAATTGCAAGCTTCGATGAACATGAATGATCGATCTTGATGAAATTTAAGGAAAGAAATGAATATTATTTGAAATTCTGTAGGCCATACAGTTAGGTACAACGGAAGCATCTAGGTACTGGATATATTGGGTTCCTGCACAGTACATATCGGCTATAAAAGACGCCATCCTCGGGAAATGGTGCTACTTCTGATTGAACGTTGCCACGATCAATTCTTCAAAAACGAAGCGTAATCAGGTGTAAGCATTGATACAAACACGACTGTACTAGTCAAACATTTTTAACAGTAAGTAATAACTTATTTTGCGTTCGATGATGTAACTGATACGTTCGGAAACAAAGTATTAGAGCAATCGTTTTTTTAGATATTAATTTTGTTCGAAACTATGAGAAATATAAAAATTTGTACCGAACCTTGCGAATAATTTAATCGGCTTATTAATATTGAAATAAATACGTGGATCTGTTTGAGAGAGAGAAAAATGTTTATACGATTTCGTGATTTTATCGTCGATCAGAAAAACTTGTTTTCTGACACTGAAGTACAGCTGTAATCTTAATTTCTTTGAATTTTATCGTACATAAGAACTGTAAATATATATTAATAGTTTTTTTTAACTAGGAAAAAATACGTTTACGTTGAACCGAGAACATTTGATTAGAAGAAGAGATTGTCGTTTAAATGAACAGACTAAACGATCTTACCTATTCTGTTTATTTAAATCAGAAACCTTTGAGTCGAACGTCAAAAGATATGAGGTGCGAATTCTCGTTAAATTACATTTGTAGGAGGAATCGAAGAGAGAAGTTACGATGTTGCATTTACAATCTTTTCGAGTTTACCGAGAAATGACTTTTTACCACGTTTTACAACATTTTACAAACTAGTTTAGGCATTTGAACAGATTCTAAATTCCTTGTTTCAACAGTTATTATTTATGTTCGACGTCGAAGCAGCTATATTGAAATTAATTAGCTCGAGAATAAATGCGACAAGAGAAATCAATGAACGACTTAAATGAATTATACGATTTCGTGATTTTATCGTCGATCAGAAAAACTTGTTTTCTGACACTGAAGTACAGCTGTAATCTTAATTTCTTTGAATTTTATCGTACATAAGAACTGTAAATATATATTAATAGTTTTTTTTAACTAGGAAAAAATACGTTTACGTTGAACCGAGAACATTTGATTAGAAGAAGAGATTGTCGTTTAAATGAACAGACTAAACGATCTTACCTATTCTGTTTATTTAAATCAGAAACCTTTGAGTCGAACGTCAAAAGATATGAGGTGCGAATTCTCGTTAAATTACATTTGTAGGAGGAATCGAAGAGAGAAGTTACGATGTTGCATTTACAATCTTTTCGAGTTTACCGAGAAATGACTTTTTACCACGTTTTACAACATTTTACAAACTAGTTTAGGCATTTGAACAGATTCTAAATTCCTTGTTTCAACAGTTATTATTTATGTTCGACGTCGAAGCAGCTATATTGAAATTAATTAGCTCGAGAATAAATGCGACAAGAGAAATCAATGAACGACTTAAATGAATTGAAAATTAATATTGCGGTCAGTTAGTTTCGTCAACGACAACTGTAAGCCCAAATTTTCTACGGAAACGAGAGATGCAATTATCATATGACGACGATAATAATGTTCGATTAAGAGAAACAACGCACTTACAACTTTAATGATACGTATACGTTTTTACACGCGTTCGACATTGGCCTATACATACACCGCGGAATATAAAATGTTTATCGCGAACGAGATCACGCTGCTCATTCGAATTAAAATCGACTGTATATCTCGAACATCCTAAGTTAAATTACCGCGTAACGTTAGTATTATCACTGCTGTAAACTAGGTTTTATACTAATATGTACAACAACCGCGGAGACGAGGACTACGACAAATCAAACTTGTATTTATCGTGATATACATATTCTATGTGGGATTCGGAACTGTTCGCGTTCGGGATCTATTTCAATGTCCGTTTAAAAACAAGACTTGTACATACATCATGTTGTGTGATTTGATAAAAATAAACGATTTTAACAATCTCTATGGTTCGTCGTTCTTATTTATTCGTCGTACTTAATTATTCGTGTACAAACATTAGATAAAAAATCTTATTTTAAAGTGCTGAGCTCCGTAGACTGTTCCTATGTAATACATCAATTTGTAATGACCTCTGAAAGATTTTGAGAGTTTAATATACATCGGTATCGCAACGTAATCGTACGTACTTATTTTTCTAACTGGCACTTCAATTACTCGTTTCAAATTTCAATTTCCCAGATATTATTCTTGTAAAGATAACTTTAAAACAGTAAGATACGGAAAATTGAAGCCTACGGAAGAATCGAAAGCGAATGTTCCAATAATTATCGATATCGACATGACTAAATAGTTAAAATTAGCCAGAACTGTTGTACTCCAGTTAAAAGCGGCGCTACAGTAACGCAAGGAGTACGATGCCTAAATTAAAGAAGCGCGCAAAAATAATAACAAAATTATAAGTGCAATCTATCAACAAGCGTTCAACTAACATGAAGGTTGCATTCAGCGATGTCCAAACGAAGGTACGAAAAACTGAAAGATGCAGTATATGGATATAAATACAATGAGTTGGCATTGAAAGAGAACATTCAAGAGAACCTGGAAACGATAAAAGGTTTGGAAATCCAATATAAGCAAACGCGGGGCCATGCATTGACCCAGTTAGAAAAGTAAGTACGCGATGCAATATCGATATATGTATTTCGTCTCTATACTGAAAGTTAAAGTAATAAGATTTTTTATCTAACTTGTAAATATTCTTGGATTTTACTTCGCGTTCTGGAGGCCCACCCTGGCGATTACATCGTCCAGTATATGCGTCAGTTCTTTGGTCTTCTCAGTCTTCTGTTCGACCTTCTGTTCGAGTCCGCCGTTGAGTCGCTTTTCAACTCCGCTTTCTTAACCATCCCGTGAAGCGTCACGGTTTCATCCTCGTGCTGCTTTCGTACATGGTCCAATTCGTGATTAGTTCTGAAAGATTTTCAAAATTTAACATATATCGATATCGCAACGTAACGGGCGTACTTACTTTGTAATTGAGACAAGACATGGTCCATCAGTTGCTCGTATCGGATTTCCAAGCCCTTTATCGTTTCCAGATTTCCTGCACACTCTCTTTCAATACAACTCATTATTTTTGTATCCAGATACGACTCCTTTCAGTTTTTCGTGCGTTTAATGGATATCATTGAAGGCAAGTTCCACGTTAGCTGAATGCACGTTAATAGATTGCACTCCAATAATCTTGATATTATTTTCTCGTGTTACTTCAACTCGGCTTCGTACTACTTCTGTTTCGTAACTCATCTTTCAACTGGAGTACAAGATTTCTAGTTAATTCTAATTACTTAGTCGAGTCGATATCAATTATTACTGGAAAATTCGCTTGCAGTTCTTCCGTAGGTTGTTTCTCTGTAATACACCAATTTTTATCGAGACATATTCAATGCGTTTTAATAAAATATTCGTAGAATACGTACTTCACTCGCGAGCTTCTGAGTCTCAACTGCTTTCAGCTCGTCGTGTTCGTAGGAAGTAGGAAGACGTTGAGATTTAAACTTCGTGTACTGTTCGACGTTCGGTATTACTTTAGGGTTCTGCTATAAGAAACTGTGTAACGTTTTTCTAATCGGTCGAACCATCGCAAAGAGGCAAAAAGATAAACACCGCGGACAGTCGTTAGGTAGGCGCTTGTATACGTTTATCGAGGATTCGAATCCAACGATCCAGCCGCCGAGCAGTGTTGGGATTCTGGCCGGGTTTTATCGCGCATACGCGGAAATGGCAACCGGAACCGCGAGCCTGAACCGGAACCGGGAGCACATCATGTGACTGTTCCAGGAGCGAGGGCCGGTGAGGGGTCGTTCTCCCGCAGTGACAGCTCACAGATCGCAGCTGATCACCAGCTGATCGCAGCGCACGACGCGTTCTCGCGTGGTCTATCTATATTTCTGATTGTATTTAATAAGAATCCGTACATTTGAAATTCAATACATTAATGGCAGGGAACGATATAAAGCAAAACTTACGAAAATTAGATTTCCCGTTCTGTACTAGAGAGGCATTATGCAGAATCGGTAAGAGATTGATACCTGTAGATCGATACCTGAGCGCGGACGATACAAACATGTAAACATTTTGTTAAAGAGATATTATGCGGGAGACCTGGGAAACAAATGGACTTACAATTGGACCTAATCTCGGAATTCGTGTTCGGAGAGATAGAGAGGCGAAAGAAACGGAATCAGACGATAGCCATACAAGAACTGCAGTTGATCGAAATTTTAAGCGATTTCTTTCAAAGTCCTGGAGGAAGTGCAGCCGTGAGGAACGCAGTGTTCTTATCCCTGTTCCCCGCAGACAGTGTCAGATACACGATCCTAGGCAATTTAGTATCATTAGCCATTGTCACTCAAAACAAGGCAGTCTTGAACGCGACTGGAATTTGGATGCAACAATTAGGTTCCACCTCCTCCCAGAGCGTAGGACTGGCGAGGCTCGTGCTCAATGATTATTTTGTCCTTTTTCCAAAGACCATCGACAAGTTGAACCAGCTTCCTACCCTCGCGCCACATTTCACCGCCAATTTATTAACAGCGATAGGCGAAGTTTATAAAGACAAGGATCCGCCCACTGAGCTGCTCGTGTTAATAGATGAATGGATAAATGAAAATCCAAGTCTTTTATTAACTCCTTTGATGGACAATCCTGCTTTGCCAACCGGAGGCATTCCAATGACACCTATCACACCAATAGCAGGTTTATTCAGGTAATTTTTAATACATAAAACAAATAACTCAAGATCTTTACGATTATAAATTTTAAGGTGGTGCATTTTGTCCTCAATACGTTCGTGTCAAATGAAAAATATAGAGAACGATACTGAGGAACGAAAGAAATTATATTCGAAGATTCAACAGCTGCTCATGGATTCGGTGTTACGATTGAAAAACGGTGGGAACAATAAGCATGCTATATCTGCGCAACATTTCGCAGCCACTACTCGAATGCTGACTGCTGGTCTACAGTCCCAATCAAACATCGATACACCTTCGCGGGATTTAGCGATGGAACGACTCGCACAAGCTGTCAGTGCAGCCATGTCTGCAAATTGTATTTATGGAAACAAACGTAAGTGTTATTATACTTGTTTTCAACGCGAAAACTAATTTGTATAAATTGTTCCGTTTCATAGAAGAGTTGCTAGCCCTGCTGCAACCTTTGGCGTACCAACACTTTTTAATCGAATGGACGTTACAGACTTACGCATCAAAAGCTACTTAAAACAGTAATAAATTTATTACAGACGTTTTCGTGATTGTACATAAAGTATGTTATATACACGACTGAATCATAAATGTAAGAATTTTTATGACGTAATAAATATTCTGTTTGATGTTAATGATGCCATTGATCGATCTGTAAATTTTGTACTTGCTCCGTTCGGAGAATAAATTAGAACGGTTTGAACGTTCGTTTCGATTTTATGTCTTGCAATCTCTTTTTATCCAGTTCGAACTTCTTCCTCAATTCTGCTAAATCTGTAAAGAAGATTTTTAGTAAAATGACAAATATAAATGCGACGATATGAAACGTACTTTGTTTCTTGCTCTCCCGGATTTGGAAAGTATAGAAATTGTGTAATTGTTTTTTCTTAGTCTTCAGCTCTTCTTTATGTTGCACTTTATGAAGAGCAGATTCTTTCCTAGGAACTGCGAATTGTCCTCTCTTCTTTCGTGCAGTCACAGTCACCCAGCCATCGTCTTCTTCCTTCTTCTCTTTCATAGCTTTTTCCCTTGCTATTTTATAAGCAATCTTGTTGTCGTAATCTCGCATGTAAGCTTCGATCTCTTCCTTCATTTTTACTTCATCACATATAGAATTATTATATTCCATGCACCATTCTGTTTTTAAATATTTTATATAAATTAATCAATTTAATAAGTGATCTCTCAATTAATTTACGTTTATATAACTCACTTGACAATCCTACTGCACATTTATTTTCCTTAGTACTCAAAATTAATACATAATCATCAGGAATCTCTAATGCATCCTCTAGGGTGGATTCCTTCTCGAATACTAAATATGCTGTTTTGAATCCTTTCGAATTTGCAAAATAAACATTGGAAACAGTTCCGCATAGATTGGTAAATGCTTTGAGCAATGCTTCGGATGTAACATAAGGAGGAATATTCAGCATGAATAGCGTTTTCCCTTTTGGATGTTCGACTGCTTGATTTCTGATCGAGTGTTCTTTAAAAAATAGTTGATGCTTGTCAATCGTATTTTCGTCAAATTGTAGCCACATCGCTGAAAATCGAATAGAATTCCATGAATAAATATACTGATTAATAGACTGTGGTTCTTAATAACTTACTTTTAAAGCCTTTTAGCTCTCCCTTTGGATTTTTCATTGTCAGTTTGTTTCTTATAACCTCCACGAGATTTAAAGAGTTTCGACAGAATCTTTTTTATCAACTTTATAATCTTTTTATAGCAAATAGCTAAACACATCATAAACAACTAAAGAAATTGTCAAATCATTTTTAACTGCGATCATTGTGTACGAAACTAACAAAACACGTGTTGATCAATGTGCTGCACAACAGTTCTCTGTTTCGTTATGCTCAATTATGCTTAATTCGTTAAGGATGTATTGGCTCTGCAGTCAATCCCAAAAGTTTATGTTGTTGTAGGCTCTGACGTCCTCTACAAGAAAAATTTAATGAATTTTTCTTCTAGCTTCAATATTTAACGAGTTAAATATGATTATATGGCATTTTATTGGCATTGACGAAATCCGACCGTTCCACTGTGGAAACGGCGAACTTTTGGCAAAAAATTTCGTTTTTCCTCAATAACTCCTAAACCGTTGAATCTACGAAAAAATTGCATAAGACCTNCCTTTTAGGCTTGTATTTCTTCAAATCAGTTGTTTCTTCCAACTTCGCGCGTGCACACCAAATACCAGAAAGTTTTCGTTGGGTTTCTGCTGATTGCCGTATGGATACACGCAAACTTTAAATCACTCTAATTTTTCAAAAAACCCACGAGTTCATTTAAAGTTTTTCAAAATTTTGAGAAAAGAAAAATTTGTATTTTTCCGAGTTTTGATCAAGGGGTAAGAATTTGTTTAAAGTACAATAATTATTAATACCATTGACAGAGACCCTGTTTATTAAAATTATACACGTATCTACAGTTCAGGAAGATTTATCCGTTTGTTCCTTCAATAGAAGTGGAATGGATTTCAATTTAGTGTTTTGTAATAAATTGTATGAGCCGTATGTACAATATTTATGCGATACAAAGGGTATATAAAACGCTCGGAAAAAACGGTGCGATCTGAAAAATGAGAAGTCGTTTAATATCATTCCATAGAGCGACAAATTGTAAACGTATTCGACTCACTTCGCAGCATCTAAATATTGCGATGATTTAATTATCGTAAAATCACTGCTTAATCCAGAATAGTTTGGTTCCAATGTTGTCTCAGTGCCGGTGTCCAAGTCCAATATAAAATGGCACTTCTCTAAATTAAACTGGAACATAAACAAAAATGGAAATTTCTCGTTACGAACCATTGCAAATAGAAACTTACATAACGCGTAGGTTCTTCCCTGTTCATATCATTAAAATAAGGCTGTACAACACTAGTCGCATTCTCGTGATCTAAGAAAGCTTGAGGTAATTGGCCTTTAAATTCCGATCGTAGAAATTGCAGCTTCCAACTGAAATCAATGTCATTCACATATTCACTGGAATTTAACAATCTGCACTTCTTTAGAGACACGTACTTATTCGATGGAAAGAAAAAGCTACTCGGAAATCGATGCCACTCTTTGCCGATGCAAAAATTAATATTTACATCCTTGGGCACTTCTTTCTCTAAGCCAAGTTTATTAGCGTCGATCATCACTTCCATCGGTGCATAATACCCTGAGAGAACAGAAAAATGTAACATAATTCCGAACACGTAGAAGCGATTTACCTTTGTAAATTGCCAATGATCTCGATATTCCAAGGAAGCCACATATCAATATAGCAAAGAATGTAAAATGTATGGTGTATTGTAGATAGTGATAAGCAATGTGCGTAGAGCTGAGCTTCGTTCTAACGAAGAAATACAATTTTTGCACGGTGTCCACAGCTATACCGCCGGCCAGACAGATCATTGGATATACAGGGAATAAAAATCGTTCCTCCTGTAATAAGATGTCTATACGTGATTCACGTCGATAAACAACGTTATTCGATTCACCTTATGTGGTTGCAAGAAGAACACTAAGAGCCATAGGTACAACGGTGCTAACGAGAACCAATAAGGCAAACATAGACGATCTCTTGCCCTGGCTGGTACAATAAGCCACACTAGAAACTAGATACAAAGTACAATGATACATAGAAAATTGTCAGTTGTTAAACACTGATGATTTTATAGATATTACCAATCCAAGGGGAGCCCATAGTGCGCCGATGAAAATGAAATTAAAATTCAGGAACCCGTTATAAATGTAATAACTGAACGGCTCTGTCCCATAGATGTTTGGTCCGTGATTAGTAAACACGTTGTACAGTATAATATTTAACGGTGCTATTACCAGTTTTCCGTAATACATCGAATCGATCCATACCATCGGTACTAAAACGACGGTACCGGATATGATCACCCATTTTACGAACTTGCTCCAATTCTTTTTACGCATTAACATTTCCAATGCTATTGGTAGTCTGTAAGAATTCATGTCAAATTTGTACTTTCAGTGAATTTAGTTATGCATGAAACAATACCCGAGTAATGCGGCGAACGGCCATCCCAATAGAGCGGATAAAGCTGTTCCGAAGATCGCTAATTCGTACCGGCGACCGTACCATGCCGCGATGGCAGCAGTACTTAGATACCTGCGTGCAGATCATGTAACAATTTGAATTGCTCAGTTTATTAATCGTGTGCGACTTACATCGAGAAAGAGGATGGTAGGAACGCGGCACTGGCGATGTACATGCCAGAGCTAAGGATAAGAAATACTAATGTCAGTCTTCCTATGTGAATCCCAAATTCTCTGCACACGTTTCTGTTAACAAAATTCAGTTAGTGTCTCGAGATTTAATTCACTGATGTGTGTACGTCGTGATTCGATGATACGTACTTGTAGAAGTATACTTCGGACAGTGCACAGCCCATGCATAATAGACATCTTACGAAATAAAAGACTAGAATAGGATTTGGTTCCAGCAAGTAGTGATACAATTTCGCTGGCACCATGTGAATCAACAAGTACATGTATGATCTTAAAGCATATTGGGGACTGTACTCCCACGTTTGCTGACCAGTACCATAAAGCAAATAATGACTCTGTGAAGTACACGAAATTCTTATAAATAATCCATTTATTAAAACAAGATAATGCGGTACAAACGTAAAAGATTACACGTAAAATCGTTCGAATTATTGCTTACTGGTTCCCAATAATTATACGTCTCGTCGCAATCAGTTATGTGACACCATATAGTGGAACAAAATCGAGCTGATAAAATCAGATTGAACGCTGTGTCCACACCAGGATAAATGAGACCAGTGTCGACCGATTCGTCTGGCCTGAAATGCAAACAATTGTCATTACAGTTTCGTTTACTCTTCAGTAGGAGATTGTAACGACGACTCGTAATAATTCGCAAAGAAAATGTAACGTTTGACAAATTCACAGTTCTAATAAAATGACATTTCCGAGAAACGTGTAATTATTTAATGAAATATGTTTGCTGATCGTGTCAAAGGGTTAACCGGCATGCTGTATGTCTAAACTGTATTAATCGTGAAGTGATGAAAGAGTTTCCGGATTCACTGTTTCCTCGGAGAAAATAGACTAATTTTTATCTCTACTTCGAAAATCTTCTGCCATTCAATTTTTTCAATTCTTTCTTCGAAATGAAAAGCTGACGTTGACGCTGGTTCGGCGCCATGGTTCCACAGCGGATCCTATGTGCACGCGGACTTATAATCCATCGCACGCTCAACAAATCGCAATATTGCAACGGGTAAATAATTTTATAACGTTTTTATTTTAATGCTAAAGTATTTAATTTAATAAATATGAAGAAGAGTGGTTCGTGAGCTTCAAACTGTTCTGTATTGATTCATTAAATTCTTGTTTAATACAGAACTAATTTTCATTGAACATTTTTATTATTTTTACTCAGCTTTTCAGATTTCATGTTAATTATTATAATGATTCAAGTTTACTAATTAAAGGTCGTTCACATGCGTTATCTCCGACAGAATAGATTTGTAATCAGAAGGTATGCAAGTGTAATATTCCACGCATATTGTTTAGTTTAATAATCGTCATAATAATAACGCCAATTTAACAGCGTCATAATACAAATAAATAAAACACATTATAGAAAGTAATGCCCTATTTTACTATTTACGCGACCCTTAAGACAAGTTAGTTTCGACAGATCTTTTATGTAAAATTCTCGTATACTTCGACAATTAATTTGTTGGTGGAAAAAGCTAAATAGCAAAATGGAATATATTTAATATCCACCGTGACAAAAACAGAAATAAAATATAACCTACTCGGAGCCGAACGTACATCGTTCGACAAATAATAAATTTATAACATATTTAAATCATGTCGCAATTGTCGATGTTGCACTAATCAAAAATACGAACTCCTAATAATTGCTGTAGGTTACATTTTATTCTTGTTTTTCTTTTAACAAATCGTGCCTGGATCGTTACCTAGTTATAATTACGTGAAATAACATTTACAGTAACGTGAGTTTAATGAAATCAGTAAACGCGAGATTATCAAAATGTTAAGGAGGATAAACAGTTTACTACACATTTCTGTAAGTAATTTAAAGATGACTAAGACGTCCTCATTTTCGTCCAGCAATTTATGAACCGAATATCGATTCCCAGGTCCCTTGTCAGAAGATAAGTAAAAGATATCTCAATTTTGTACCTGTAGTCGTAGAACAAAGTGGAAGAGGAGAACGTGCATATGACATTTACTCGCGTTTACTGAAAGAGAGGATTATCTGTCTAATGGGCCCGGTACAGTTTCACATATTTCTCTCATATCTAATTTAACTGTAGCAAACTTATAAACAATTATTTATGATTTTCCAGATTACAGACAACGTGTCTTCAGTAGTAATTGCTCAGCTTCTGTTCCTTCAATCAGAAAGTAGTAAAAATCCAATTCATATGTACATTAATTCACCTGGTGGAAGCGTAACAGCAGGACTTGGGATATATGATACCATGCAGTATGTCCTGCCTCCTGTTGCCACATGGTGTGTAGGACAGGCTTGTTCAATGGCCAGTTTATTATTAGCTGCAGGGACGAAAGGCATGCGGCATTCGTTGCCGAATGCAAGGATTATGACACACCAGCCGTCAGGAGGGGTGTCTGGCCAAGCCACGGATATACAGATACAAGCCTTAGAAATATTAAAACTTAAAAAGCAGATTAATAATCTGTACGTAAAGCACACGGGCATGGAGTTGGATAAAATAGGTAAGCGCTCGAACTTCGAGATGTAAATGAAATACGTTCATAACGTGTCATCGTCTCGCAGAACGTAGCATGGAAAGGGATAATTTCATGAGCCCTACGGAAGCGAAGGAGTTCGGAATTATAGATAAGGTACTGACACATCCGATGCAAGAGGAGGAGAAGCCGAGTACAAAATTGCCCGAGGTCTCTCTTGAAATCACCACCCAACCGCTTAACCAGCCTTGATGTTAAAAGACACGTGGTTAAAATTATGAAATTTTATTAAAACATGTATTTATCAATATTTAAAAATAGTAATAAAATATTTTTAAAACAATTTATATCATGTATATAACTGTATTTAAGTACAGCAAGTGTGCCCACGTTTTGTAAATATCATGTAAATATATAACGTAGTATGATGATTTCATATGTGATAAACAATATGAATTGATGTTCTCATAACAGGCCATTCGTATCTCTTTGATAACTAGTTTTCGGGCAAGCAGTATATCACCAAGCGTTTTCGCTATGCGCTAACATATATAATGTTATAGTTGTAGGAAAGACTGCGTGAAACCGTCGAAATGTATCTATATACAATTAACTGTTAATTTTGATTTGAAATAAATCGTCCTAGCTTTTCCATCGTCGTAGTTCGTGACGGCAGTCGCGCGCTTAAAGTGTTCTTAAAAATACATTTAAGTTCGTAATTTCATTAACATTCTATTATCACCAAAAATACTTTATATAAAAAAGGACGGAATGGACTTTCTGCCTCAGTGTTACACAGCAATAAAGCATTTCACAGTGACGTCGTATGCCATTAAAAAACATATATGTATCCCCTAACACCAGGTTTCGAGAAACCAGTTTCAGATCTCTTCTCTTCGAGTGAATCACACGGTTACTTCGTAACGATCACTGAGGGCATACTTGAGCGTGTGCGAGCATCAATATGTCCTTCTTCTCTTTAGGAAATCTAAGCTCTCTGCCGGCCAGACGAGCCGCTTCGAGTTCCCTCTCGGCCAACGCCAGTTCCATGGCGACGACACCGCCGCCGCTTTCGTGCTCCCTCGCCACCCAGTCCAACGCCATTTGACTCCGCATATCGTCGTCTAAAGCTCGATGACTGTAATGAGCGACTACTTCTTGTCTGCTGCACTGCCTCTCGCGCATTGCTTTCAACGATCCGTTCCAATGAAGCAGTTGGAAGACTGTCATTAACTCTTGAAATTCTAACATCGTCCTCCCGCGATTACACTCTAACATAAAACGGAACGCTCCTATACCTGTGTTCGGGTCCTCTTTCTCGTCGCCGTTTCCCTGCAAATTTTAAGCAACTCAATGGAACGATGATCCAAGAGAAACGTATTCGATCGTTCGAATTCAGAACGTACTTGCGTCTGATTCCCGACTCCGTTCGATGTCGCAGGTTTAGCGAAACTGGCTCTTGCTTCCGCGACAGCTTTCTCTATGAAGTCGTCCGTTATCTTCCGCGCTGGGTGTTCATTGAAAACGGAGTTCATCAATGCAATTTTCGCTGCTGATCTGCGGGCTTCTGCTTTAGTGGGACAATTTTGAAAGCTACCGAAACAAGATCCTCCGGGAAGAGTAACGTAACATACATAAGGGGGACTGGTACCAGGTACAGATTCATAAATAACTAATGCTCCGTTTCTCAGCTCTGTACCTCTGCTCTGTTTCATCTGCCAGAACTCTTGCAAGGCTTCTACCACGTTCACTGTACAAGGAAAACGATGTGTAAAAGATGTAGCAGAATATAATAAATATGGTCTTATACCTCTTCCATAGCCCTGAGTATGCTTCGCGAAGCTATTAACAACAGCCTCCACTGCTTCCTTTAATACTTGTTTATCCCTGGCGTCTACCAGTCCGCCTGTGATACCCATATTTTCAGGAACACGAGACTTCGTTTTAACTGGCATCATGCCCTGCATCACCCCTTAAACTCACTTACATTTACGTCCTGTAATGTACAATCAGTCACAGTGTCTATTCTTGATACATAAGAATGAATATCTTCATTCATAGAACATATTTGTTACGAGATAAGTCGAGGAGATTTGTCAATCATAAAAATACGATTAAAAGGAGTGACAAGGTACAAAGCTTTCTCTCGACGTCGCGATCGAAGGTGGAAAGAAGAAACGGGAGAATGGAGAATAAAAAAGGTGCCTACGTACGTAGAATAAACGTAGCGGAGTAATGTTAGCAAGAATTGTCTCTCTTAAATGCTCGATGTGACAGTTCTCGGATGTTGTACGGGCGACAAAGCGGCGAAGCAGTTGCCGCGACAGCGAATGCATCAGATACGAGAAGAAACTCTGGAGGCCCACCTGCAGAGACCCGGATGCTAAAGAATTCGCGTAAATTACTTTCTCGGACCGAGCGCTACGGGATCAAATTGCAATACACTGCAATACACACATAACGCGTTTAATGGCCCCGGACCACTGATGATTTCCAGAAAACCAGGGCTGGCCGCAGCGGTCAAGCACCCCTTGCTACGACACCACGTATATATATGTATATTCGACATTGTCACCGGGAGGATTGCCAACTGACAGAGAAAGATAGTGTCGGACTTCGCGAGCACAGAGCCCGCACCTAACCAATACAGAACATATATTATTTTCTAATATAAATCAATTAATTTATAACACAGACATGCATTCGAATTCATAAAATGTTATTGTATATGAATTATTTTTATCTTCAAGCCTTCCATACCTTTTCTCTATATAACTTCCCCAACTATTAGAAAATATATTTATAATATTCTGGAATTTAATTATACTCAACGTGAAAGGAAGGATCATATACTCGCAGCCTTTAATACTAACATTGAATATTCTCCTGTTACAAAATATTTATTATAAATTATACAACGTTGGAATTATTTTAGATAGACAGGCGAATGTTCTCCAAACTTGATCTGGAGAACAGAGCGCCGTGAGTTACTTACTGTTGGAACCGATGGAATGATCAGTTGATAAATGAGATCCGGGAAGCAGTGACCCAACTTATCGTTCTTTAACTAATCGGAGTCTCTCTGGGTGGTGAAATGAAATGCATACTATTTATTTACTAATATTTATCACAGTAATTGATGTCAGTGAAAACTGAGTATAGATGATATCATAATACAACGTACCGAATTTTGTAACGCGTTATCGGTGCATTAAAGCAACGTTTCAGCAATGATAAGATATATATTTTTAAATATATGAAAGGGAAAGTGTTTTACCCCTCCGTTTTGCCACCGCAGCTCATTCTTCCTGATCGGATGCGGCGACTCGGGGTAGAAAATTTACGCGCGCATATTTCCCGCGTGATCAGGGCGTAAGTGCATGCACGCATGCATTTGTGCAAAGTGGTGTGCGTTCGTCGGATCAGCTGAGCGCCAGCTGTGCCATCCTGCTCGACCAATAGGAAAAACCCTTAATATTGCTCAGCAGCGCCTCGAGTACACAACCGGTGCCCACTAGTTCGGCGTTCCCGCGAAAGTGATTTATAAACTTCGGTTCGGTGTTTTAAACGCATTATTTTACTTGTAAATACCTGTTTCCGTGATCATTAGACAGTCGTTTCGACTGCGGTGCGTACGGTGCGTTTACGTGTGACATTGTTTGACGATATCCGATGAAAAGTACTGGTAAAATCGAGCGGGAAAACTAGATGCGCAGAACGCGCGGATGCTGTGACTCCTCCGGTTTATCCATCATCTGCATTCGATATTGAACGGTCCAACACGAATTTGTTTGTTCGCAAATGTAAAAGACAGTCTACTTTGTCAGTGGCTTGTGATTTTCACAAGTTTTCATAACATTTTCTTACGTAAAATCGTGGCGAGAACCAAGCGTCTGTCGAAGGACGCCGAGCCTGAAACACGTTCGCCTGTGCCTTAAATTCCGTGTACATACGTCAAAGTAATAGGATTTATGTGATGAAAATAGACAAGTGGACCTCGGGGAATCTGTTAATCAGGAATTGACGATTTTTCCCCCCTTTGAGGTTATGTTATACATATAGAGGGCGTGACAGTGGCATATTGCAAGCAGGGGTTGGTCATCGTTTCGCGCGCTGGTCTCCCGCGCTTCGAGTTCCACGTCTCTTGTTTTACTGTGGAATTATTGTTCTGTGATATCCCGAGGCTTGAAACCGTGTCAGAAAAGACTTTAAGGAATTTTCGTGTTGTAAAATATTTAGCGGATAAAAAGTTATGACGTTAAATATCGAATGAAACGCAGCCAAGTATACGTGCATTATGGCGATCAGGTGCGTGTGAGCTTCGCGCGCTCTTTTACTTTCCGACCTTTTCCTGCCTAAATTAGTGACCGTATGTGGTAGCGAGCAACGCGAATATTCAATTAACACACCCACCGATCTGTGTTCGTATTAAAAAAATCTGTGTCCGTTCAAAATATTTTTTGAACACGTCGACAATCCTGAAGCAGAATGCCACAGACGAGGTGAGAGAACGAGCTTACATTTCGTCCAAAAAGTCCATTCAATCCTTCCGATATTTTGTCGCAAACATTTCCAATTTATTTAGAATAGATGTACTTAGTTTGACGAATTTCTTCCAGTTTCTAGTTAGAAAAATAATGAAAAAATATGCATGTATAACCTTCTTTAATTAGTATCTGCTTTGAAGAAGTTTCAACAGTATTCTACGCACAATATATGCAAGGATTTTTATTTTACTGCTTCCTAGATACTCTATGAACACTTCCAATGCATCATGAAACCAATGTACCTTATACATGGATTAAAAAAAAAATTAGACCTTGTATAACGTACTTGACTATCAGCTTCCAAGAGGACTTCACCTGCTTGTCAAAGTCGCTAAAACTCCTTGTTTCCCAGCCAATATTGCTTTGCCGTTGCCAATGAAGACTCGTTTTCCTTTCTTATTCAGTTTACATGGAAAGAAATCACAGACTTACTTGCAAGGAGCCAAAGTAGTGACACAGTCTTCAAAACGCAAAAGACGTCCTACAGAGAACTTGGAAGATACAGAAAACGTCTACCCTCCTAGTAAAATTCCACATGTATCATACACGGAATCATGTCACACAGTACATCCATTGGAAAACTCCTGTACTCCGAGTCATCAGGTCTCCCCATTGAAAGAGCAACAGGAGCCAGCAACATGGTCGGAATTGAGAACAGCCACATGCTTTTTAACGCCGTCGTCTTCGAACAACACGTCCAGCCGACCGAGCCCGTTGCCATCGTTTCCCTGGGCAGACGGTTCTCAGGTATGGTCTCTCATGTGCTTGGGAGACCAGAAGACCATCACTCAGAGGAATCCGCAAATGTTTCAAAGGCATCCTACACTCCAACCGAGGATGAGGGCTATTTTGTTAGACTGGTTGATCGAAGTTTGTGAAGTTTATAAACTACACAGAGAAACTTACTATCTGGCAATGGATTATATAGACAGATACTTGTCCATTCATCAGAACGTGCCCAAAAATCAATTGCAATTGATAGGCATCACGTGTCTGTTCATAGCAGCTAAGGTTTGTATAACAATTTTATTACAATTCATTTTCATACGAACGATTCGTCTATTCGAATATTTTTACAGGTCGAAGAAATATATCCGCCTAAAATAGCGGAGTTCGCATATGTCACCGACGGAGCCTGTACAGAAGAAGAGATATTAGGAAAAGAATTGATCATCTTAAAAGGTCTCGGCTGGAACTTGTCTCCGGTCACTGCTCCCGGCTGGTTGAACATTTACATGCAAATAGAATCGGGAGATTGGTCGAGACCCAACGCGTTTATTTATCCACAATACGGAGGACTACAATATTCTCAGGCAGCTCAACTGATAGATTTAGCTACGTTGGACGAAGGAAGTTTAAAATTCCCGTACAGTCACATAGCAGCGGCAGCTATCTACCATACGCAAGGCAGAGAATGTGCGTTGAGGGTGTCGCGCATTCCGTGGGAACAGCTCGCGCCCTGCGTCAAATGGCTCACTCCCTTCGCAATGACCGCTGCTGAAGAAGATTCACAGTGTCTTTTAAGATCCATGATAACACCCGTGGAGTCTCACAGCGGATCTGGACTGAAGGCAGCAGTACCTAACATAGTAATGGACGAATCGCATCGTATACAGACTCATGTAGTAGATTTGAACATGCTAGAAAAGGCGCAGCAGCGATTAGTGGAGGAGACCCCTTTAATTGATACAAACGAGTTCGACTCGAATCCCGTGTCTGGTAGACAAAGTCCAAACGAGAGCGGGCTTCTAACTCCGCCGTCTAGCAGTCAAAAGAATTCAACGACCCCCACGCGTCCTTCGCCGCAGTTACAACCGTATACATAATAAACTATTATTTATAATAACGCGTTTACCGACTGCTTTTTCATGATGACCGACCAGTTATTGTAAGCATGCGTACGTACATGTTAAGAGGTCATTAACTGCTTGATATACTTTCAAGTTGCACGGTGTGTCACTTGTAAGGGATATCGTTTACGTCCGGTGCATCCGATGATTATCCGTTGTCTTTGCAACGATGGTGTCTATAAGTCATCTATAAGTCGTATCGTAATCGTAAGAGTCGCAGTACAAGTTATGGTGTCTATAATGGCGCTGAATTTATTTAATGTTCTTTTATCGTAGATGTTTAGAAGAAGTGCCTTGCATCGGGGAATATAAACTTACACGAGAGCCTACGGCTATATATTCTGTGATTATATTCATGCAGTGAAATACATATTATCTATGTTAACGTGTTACGGAGAACTGTCAACAATTGACGTAAAATCATTAGTGCCTGCTGAAAGTGTCTTTAGAAAAATATTATATATATAAATATATATTTGTCTTTATTACATAGTAACGAAGTAAAGAAACGTTTGTGAATAGTATTCTTTTATATATATACATACACACATATATATATATATATATACATATACATACATGCACATCTATATGTATATATATATTTTATTCGCTTTATTTTAACGCAACGTGTTATAAAGCCGGCTGAATGTATTTTTATGTATATGTATATCGTGAATTATACTAATCATTAAGAGAAAAAAAAATTTGGTTCAGAGTGCGTGGAGATGGATGGATGAGCGAAGACACGGGACTACTACTTGTTCAATAAAATAGGATTAAAAATTTCGTGATCACTTTATACTGCCCTGCATTTATTGACGCGGTCGTTTATACATATTTGTATGAAGAATTAGACAATAAATATTTCTAAACCCGACCGATCGAGCATATATTATTTACCTGAAAACTACAAAAATCTAGCCGCTTCTCCAGGCGTATTTTAATTTCAAAATGTTCGATTCGGCAGATCGATCGTTTTCGATTCTACGTTACCCACAGTGAAAACAGCATCGCAGCGCCGTGGATCCTGTTTAACTCCTCGCGATTGGCCGTTGCCTTCGCATTCAAGTTGTCAAACGGCGGACGACCGTTAAGAAAGCGGTTGCGTTGCTTGGTGTATAAAGATTGCAACGGTGGCAGAAGAACGAGTGCGTGAGTTTTTCGATGAGAGAAGGTTTATTACTCGTCTTAAAATCTAACCGAAGTTAAGTAGGTGAGTGTGTGCATTTATTAAAAGCGTAGGTGCATCCGGAGGACTTTATTCTGGTTCGTGAACAACAAAATGTGAGTGTTTAATGTTAACGATTCGTGGTGCTTCGAGATCGTGTGTTTAAGTTGTTTGTTAAATCGGTTTCTTGATTCTTGTAGCGTATAGACTTATTAAGATCGTCAGCAAGGTTTCACTGGAATCTGTGAAACATCATCAGGATGTCCAGTCCAAGGAATGGTGGGCCTGCACGTGAAGGGAACCGGGTGGTGCTACGAGAGATCACCGCGACCCTTCACAATTCGTCACCTTTACAAACGCCTCGCCACAAGGTAGTTACGTTATCCGCACGGCAGTGAACTTTAAACCTACGTGCCTCGCATTCTTATCAGTTCTTTGCTCTTTTTGCTTTGCCGCCTTTCCGCCCTGTTTTTATTGCAAACAGTGTGTGTGCCAGAGCACACCTATAAATATACTCTGAATCTCCAGGAGCACCTTGAAACGAAAATAAGTTTTACTTCCCATGCGGGAGTATCTTTGTTCCCCTCCTGAAAGGATCGTAGCCGAAAGAATGTGGAAAATTATTTCGCGTTCCGAACGCGAATTTTTATGCAAAACACTTGCGTTGTTTAAATAATCTAATCTAATCTAGTTTCAGATTCGAAGCGGTCTGCATAGTTTTGCACATTATCTGCATTCTTTACATATTTCGTATTTAGTTTTCCTGCAAATGCATAAACTTATAACTGTACACGCTATCACGTGCTGTGAATGATTAAGGGACAGTACAGTTAACGCTTGATACGTTAAAACGTAATCTAATACTGCCCGCATTCATTTTTATGTGCATGGAACTGGTTTATTCCTTGTACCCTCGCAAAACTTGAAACCGGTTCGTTCTTTATTTTTAATGATTCATATATCGCGATTTCTCATTGAAGTTTCCATGACTTAATTTAATAACTCAAAGTTAATGCCATTCGAATCACTTTAGAAAGTGGCAATTAATAAGAGGCTCGCCGTAATCGACGAATATTCTTTCCTTTTCGATCGAATTCGAATTCTCGGCATATACCGGCGTCTACTTAACCGTCCGCGGTTATTATTATTTACCTTTTTTATTCCTTCGACCGAATAGGAAAAAATTGGGCCGTTTCTTTTAGCCTGTTACTATTTAAATCTCAAATTAAGGATTTTCTAACGCCCGAGCGATGCTTTTAAACCGCTTTTAAACTTCAATTTTCAAAGGACTGAGGATATTGAAATAAGTTTCAAAATAGAATAACTAAAAAGAATCAGGTATGTGGTTAATGAGCCCCTTATCAATCACCTTCTTTTATTTCTTTGTATCATACTGTAATCAGGTTGGCTCACGATGGTACCCGAACCACCAGGATACCGCTGTCGGTCTCTTCTTCATCATCTCCTGCTCTCCAGAGTCGGACACCTGATAAGAGAGTATATACACGATAGTCTAGAGAGCGCCACGCCGTTGGTTCATTCCGCTTCGTGTACCGGGACCCTCCACTTCCATAGTTGGTGATCTTTGTATCATAATGCCCGTGCGGCGTGTGCGCGGTTCGACGTCACGATAGCGGCCTACCGAGTGTGTTAGTTACGCGTATCATCGTGGCAGAACGGTGGCGATGACTCCCGTGTCGTTCGTTATCCTCCACGCCCGAGAAGTGTCCCATTTCACGGTGGATGCGATCTAGTTCACGTTCACGAGACATCGGCATACTCGGTTCATTTCTTCCCGAGAGGTGAGGCTTGTCCACCGTTTCTGGCAGGACCTGCGTTCATACCCGCGGTGCGCCCACACGTAAACGCGCGTGTACATATGGTATCGCGTGCGAGACGTTCAGTGGTGGTGGTGGTGGATGTCTAAAGTATCGACTGAAGAATGCGCTACGCTAATATTAGAATTTCAACCAGAGATATCCTTCGTTGATCCGGACATCGAGTCCAGTGAGTGTTCACCCATTTTTCTTAACTCCTAAAGCTAAGTCTCTCCTCCCGCAATGACTCACGTTCCCTTCAGAACGTCTAACGTCGTTCTATCGAACGTTGTCAGGAAACCTTCGTTCATATTTATTGTTTATAAAACATTGACTTGCAACATAACAAGCTTTCTATTATATTAAAACAGTTTTAGATCTGTCATATGAACGTCGTAAGAAAAAGTTCATTTGCATGATTTAATATCTTATCAGTAATGTTCTTACGAATTGACGCAATGCTTGATGATCGTTCGAGGCTGCAGAGGAAACAGAGCGGACAGGGATGAGAAAGACACACCCTTTGAAAAATTACTGTCACTACTTGTAAACACGAACAGATGAGAGAATGAGTCATAGCGCTAGTAAAGTAGGAACGTGCCGCGGTCTCCATACTTATTCCTCCATGATGTCAAGAAGACGCCAAATAAGGAGACCGCGAGCTTCTCGAGTTTCCAAAGGAATTGCGTGTGATCGCATCAGCTCTCTCGGTTGAACGCTTCAAGTACTCGACCGATAGCATTCACTTTATACCGTAGATTTAACAAGCAAAAGCTCCAGCAGTTTAATGACAATAATCGTCGACGATTTGTCACGGTTCGTGGAAACGTCTCTATCATTTCGGATGATTTAATTGCGCAATTAATTCGGAAACCCGGTGGGAACGAATCGTGTCATTTCTTATTACCTGAGAAATGAGAGGAATGAAAATATCGATTTGATTGAACAGCTTTTACTCTCATTGATTCATGCCATAAAATATTGCTTATTGCATTTCTACTGATAAGAGGTAAGGTGTGACGTGACTCGTTACTTCTTATTGATGCTTTCTGCAAATGTCATGCGGCCATCGTTTCTGAACGTTTCTATATACGTTTTAAATCGATTTCAATCGAAGCAGCTCGAAGGACGCGTTCCAAATAGGCCGAGGAAGCGCACCGAGAAATTAGAAATTCTTCAAATAAAGCATGAATCATTTTATGAATTCTGGTAAAGTTCTGATAAACGCAGGAGCATTGATATTCTTAGAGGAATTGAACAGGAGCCTAATAAGTATATTGCATGTTGGATTAATCTGTGATTCTGCGTTCTACTTTCTAAATGCGTTTATTTCGCATGAAAAAGCTTGCTCGCTCTGGCATCATCACATGTGTACTAATCGGATAAAAAACGAGCCGAGATTGATTACGATCTGGCATAATTAATTCGATCGAATTCATATTATTCCTAATCGTCTTGCGCCTCGCTTTCGTTTCGGTTTTCCCTCGTTCCGTTACGAGAATTATTATTAGGCAATCCGTTTGGATAAGCAAACCGGTGAAAGTCAAGTCTCTCTCCGTTGATAATTGAATATTTAAACGTACGCGATGCGATATCTAATGAGATATGAATTGTTTAATTTCTCCTTTAAGAAGGTGAAAAAATGTTGCTCCGTTACCAGTTGTCTTTATCCTCTCGGCGGCGCGCGGACCGGATGAAAGAGCGGGCGCGAGAAAAATAGATATGCCGCGAAAGATGCGCGGTGTCGTCGGAAATAAACGTGTCAGGGGTGAGGATATTTAGGCGGGGAGAAAGTAAGAAAGTTCTCTTCGTGGGGTTCTGTGAACTCGCGTGTAAATATGGGCCTCATATTGGCCAGCAGTGACAGCCGAAACTGGAGGTCCTTTTTCGAAGCCATGGGCAATTTTATTTTCAAGGTAATCTCCGCGAATACGCAAAGTCCGGTTCCTCGACTCTTCAATATTGAATCAATACCATTTTTTATTTAGAAAGAAGACGTTCACCTACATTTGAAGTGGATCAATTATTGAAAGCACTTGGATTTATTTAATTCAATTGATTTATTCGCGAGAAACTCCTGGAGTTAAATTTAGAGTCTTGGAGCAACGACCGTCACTTGTATCGATAACTGGACAGCGAAACGCGATCGTAGTTACTTATATACTTTTTTTCCGCGAACAGCGTAACTGTTCTTGGCAGGGAGTCGCGGCGGAGACTGGCGCGAGATCGGGCAAAATAAAATCCTATCTCCCCCCTTATAGTATATTTTATAATTAGTCCGAGCCGCGTACGAAAGTTGCGTAATTTCGGAAAGAAATCTGCCAGTTCTCGAACCGATCAGTTGACCGCGGGATACGTTTCCTCAGTAAATCTCGACCGCTTCTTGAACACGCGTCGTCCGCAGCTGAGAAATGGATTACATTCATAAATTATTGCAACGAGCTGCCAGAACGTCACCGTCGCCCACGCCGCCGGTATTTTGCGTCTCATTCGTGGAAACCTCGAATAAACGCGTCTTGGCAAGGCCACGCGCATTGCAGTTTTTTTAATCTCTTTGGAAACTGTCGAATGAGACGGCCATCTCATAATCTATCGTAGCTCATAAGAATAAAAAATAAATTACGTTTGTGCAACACTTTGTTTATTGTTTCTCTTCTGTTTTAGAGTGGCAGCGACAATACCACGCCAAAAGCTGCGGAGCATGAGGTGAAGGTCCAATTCGCCCGCGAGTTCGCCGACGTTGAAACTATCACCTGCTCGGCACCGCGCACTGTGTCCTCGGCCAGAAGCGTTCACAGTCGCGCCAGTACGAACGGTAACGACAGCAGCTTAGAAATTCCTCATTCCTACGTGAACTCGAACATCTCTGGATTAGACGACTTGATCCACGGAGTAGCGAAGATAGAATTGAACAGCGATGACGAACGTTCATTCAATGCTTCCCAAAATTCCGACGACTTTAGTCTAAATCAAACATTCGCCTCTGCTACAGAATTCGATTCCTCGCGTTTACCAAACGATTCTATATCAGAGATTATAGAACAACCTACACGAACAGCTGTTTGCGTCAGGGAACCTCCGCCTGTAGTGCTTGCATCACCGGGTAGAAGGTGTAGCTTCATTAAATTAGAGGTAAAGTTAGACGAGTTAGTGGAGAATCCGGAATCTCCTGAACAAAATTACGACTCGCATAACAGCAAGAGTAAAACGAATAGTAGCCTTGCAAATGACATTGAAGAGAGTCCGCTAAATAGCAAGACGAATGAATCCCTTTCCAAGAAAAACGTGGACCATTTGGAAAAGGCGGATGCAGTGAATTCCACGAAGCAAGAGGAAAGCAAGGAGTTGACCGAAAGTGAATCCGAAAATCGGGACTCGGAATCCAGTCCAAGCGATCTTCAAGATGTTCTTTTGAACTCTGAAGTATCGGGAGTTGAACAGCACTCGGAATCCAAACTAGAGACAGAAAATTCATCATTGACTGCATTAGATATCAAACAACCAAGTTTTGAAGAACTGAAAACTGAATTGGATTCAATCGATTTAGATAAGTTCGAGAATATTTCTTTGACACCTGAAATAGATTCGAGCATCAAATTAGAAAAATCTTACAACGCTTTTCTAAATGCTGAAGAATTAGAGAAATTCATAAAATCCAAATTAGAAGAACAAAATAATTCGCTGACTACGTTGTGTATCGAACAACCAAGTCTTGAAGAACTGAAAACTAGTACCACTGAACAGGCAACCAATGAATTAGAGTCGGTCGATCTGGAGAAATTCCACAGTGCTCTTCTAAATGCTGAAGAACTCATAGAATCCGAACCACAGGAACAAGCTACTTCATTGGCTACGTTAAGCATCGAACAGCCAAAGGAAGAATCGAAAGCTTCTAAACAGATAGTTAACGAATTAAATACGACCGTCTGTTTAGACGAACCTCAAGACGTTTCTCAGAACTTCGAGGGATTACCAGAAGCTGAACCGTGCGTGGAGTTCAAACCCCAGAGTACGTCGTTGAATACTTTAGACGTCGAACGGCTAACTTCCGAATTACAGGAAGTTGTTGAACAGGTCGCCAATAAATCAGATTCTGGCGTCACTCCAGACGAACCTCAAGATCTTTCTTCTAAAGTAACACCGGAAGTTCAACATTGCATAGAATTAAAACCCCAGCGGCAAAGTACTTCATTGACCACTGTAGACGTCGAACAGCCTAGTTTCGAAGAATCGATAGCTACTGAACAAGTAGCTAGTAAATTAGATTCGACTACCGACCTACACGAACATCAAGATGTTCCTTCGAACCATAAAGTAACACCGAAAGTCGAACAGTACGAGGAGTTTAAACCTCAACGGCAAAGTACTTCGTTGGCTACGTTAGGTAGCGTTCAGCCAGATTTCGAAGAGTTGAAAGCTGCAGCCGCTGAACAGGTGGCCAATGATATATTTAATTCTTCCTTGGGTTTATCAGGGGACACCGACTGTTGTTTCGTCACCGCAACGTCCGACAGTAAGCATTTTTTAATTACTACATGAATCAGTTTGTTACTTTATTAATACGAGTTTTACGTGACAGTCTTCCAGGACCCTACGAGCTTCGACTTTTTGATGAACCACGGGAGGTCACACGCTGTTAAATTGAGAACTGAATCCTTATACATAAAGTTCGATCCTTTGGCATCTAACGTCAGGATGTTACCTCAGGGAAACGCTCAGCCTATAGACGGGGAACAGAACGAGAAAAGTGAAAGCGTACCAGCGGACATCAACACCCCTAAACGTAGTCCTGCCATATCGGCTATAGATAGATTACTTTTTTATAGTCCTCTTTCTACAAGCATGACACAAAAAGCAGATGAAACTCAGGAGAAGGTGGCGAGCAAAGTAAATATCCTACGAATATTTTATTAAAACGCATTAAATATGTTTCAATAAAAAATGGTGTATTATGTAGGAGCAGCCTACGGAGGAACCAATAATCACCGAAATTAATATGAGTAAAGAATTAGAATTAGTTCGAACGTCTGTACTTCACTTAGAAGAACAACTAGAAAAAAGCAAGAAGGAGTACCAAGCCGAGTTGGAGAAACAGCAGGAAAAGATAAGCAAATTGCAAGGACAACTCGAACAGGAGGTGAAGAGCAAATCGCAGATGACGTAAGTATTTTGTTCACATACTATTATAATTCTGATACAACAGACATTGGGATTGAGATATTATTTTCTACAGGGTCGTAGTCGAGGAATATGAAAAGTCGATCAGCCGATTGCTAACAGAGAGGGAAAGGGATCGCACGAATTTCGAACAAGAGAAAGGAAAGCTTCAAGAAGAAGTGCAATCTACCAACCTCCATTTAGCTAACATGGAGGTTGCATTCAGCGATATCCATCACAAATACGAGAAATTGAAAGCAGTTGTTTCTGCGTACAAGAACAATGAGTCCGTACTGAAAGAGAGCATCCAGGAGAACCTGGAAACAATAAAGGGCTTGGAAATCCGATACGAACAACTGAAAAACCATGCCATGTCCCAATTAGAAAAGTAAGTACGCCGATTACGTTGTAATACCATTGTATGTTATATTCTTAAAATCTTTCAGAGCTAATTACGAACTGGATGCTATGCGAAAGCAGCATGAAGATGAGACCGTGACGCTCCATGCAATGGTCAGGAAGGCGGAGTTGAAGAGCAACTCATTGGCGGAGTTGGTCGAACAGAAGATCAAAGAGAACAAGGAACTGACGCAAATTTTAGATGAAGTGATCGCCAGGGTAGGCCACCAGAACGCGGAATAAAATCATTCAATCGCGGAGAACATTTATATGTTAGATAAAAAATTTTATTTTAAGGTTCTGAACACGATTTTTAAGTTTGACGACGATTGTACATACGCGCTGTTTTTAAAATATTGGTTTATAGTTTTAAACACGACCATATGTTAAGTACTATTAATATTATTACTACTCGGTGCGATTGTACGCGAATAATTAGGTACGATTGTACATACGCGCGGTATTTAAAATAATTGCCAATTACATTCTGTTTTTTACTAAGCACCTTTTATTGATTATTTATAAGTTGTGAGATATACGAACTATTTTACCGCTAATAAAAAAATAGGCACATTAAAGACCTCTCGTTGATATATGTTTAGGCAGTAAAAAATTTTATCCTAATTTGTTACAACATAATTGACTCCTTTTCGCTGAATTCGGATAAATAACGTTCGTAGTTTACACATATGCTACCCAGGTGTACGAATACCAACGACGTCTTATCGTTGATATTCTTATGATAAATAATGTATAATTGAGATCTTTAATTCTAACGTGTAATAACGGGACTTACGTCTATGTAATCAGTACCGTCGCTCATCGTCGACTATCATTACGCATTTATCCTCGTAGAACAGAATCAAAGATCTCAATTGCCCTTAACAGAAGATTAATGTTATTTGTATACAGTTGAGTATTGTCAGTCTGGTGGTCTCGCATCGATTACGTAGACGACGTGGTGTTTCGCTAGTTTCAGCATACGATCGCTCGTACTCCCTGGTTTCCGAGGAATATTCTTATTCTCGAGATCCGGCATAAACTTCTTGATGGTCCGCGCCAAATTCGTAGCGTACTGCTTGAACAGCGGATGAGTCATGCCTATTCCCTTGCCTCGCAAAGCCTCTGCTACTGCCCACAGCAATTTCTGAACGACATATATTAACATGTTAGATAAAGAGCAATTATTTGAATATACTTTTAAGAAATAAAGAAAGATACCTTTCTGTGAGCATCGCTGAGCTCGCATCTTTTCTCGGTCAATTTAGTCTTCTCGATTATATTACTAGACGAGTGCCTGTCCCACGATATCGTTTTATTATGCAGCTCATGGGAACAATCGAAAGATAAACTCTTCGCCCATTTACATCGAGGCCCTTCCAAGTCCTCCTCGTTCTTTCTCTTCTTCGAATCATCGTTACTTATCTTTTGAACAGCCTCAGAATCGTTCTCTTTTGTATTTTGCGTGAATAGGGCGCGTTTGATGCTCTGGGGATTGGAGCCGCCTGTGAACAACTTGCTCGGACCAGCCCGCTCGGCTGGTGGACTCTGAAAGAGGGCACGCTTCGATGTTTCGATCTTGCTCTTCAAAGGACTAGGTCCGTCAAGAACGAGCCGTCGCGCCACTTTTTTCTTCGTCGAACTTTTCGGAGTACCCCTTGGGCTCTTACCACGTGGACTTTTTCCTCGCGGACTTTTCGCCCGTGGACTCTTACCCTTTTTAACTACAGGCTTCCTAAATCGAAAGAAGAACGTTATTTTGTATCAGGAATATCTTTGTATATCTAAGAAATGAATTCGATACGTACTTGATGTTTAATACTACCATCTTCTTATTGTTCATTGCTAAACCTTGTAAATTCGCGCTAGAAAATGCTTTCCGCCTTCTCGTTAAATGACTCAATCTCTTCCCCGGACTCTGTCCGTTATTACGTTTCGCCAAGAGGCTTCGTTTCTTAGCACTGCTCGGTGCCGGTTTAGAGAACCATACGGTGCAAGTAGACTGAGTCTCAGCCCCTATATATCTCCCACATAATTTCGAAGTAAGACTCTCGAACTCTTCGACCGCTGTACTTCGGTTATAACTGAAATTATATAAAGTACATTTATTAAGTTTTGACAAAGACCGTAAATTATTTAATAGGAGATGTATAATAATATATTTACTGTATTCCATGATATTTATGATAATATGCTTCGGGCCATACTAAATCAACAGCTGCCTTCTGGTCAACCGTGTAATAAAGTAACGATTGGCTTTGCGCCGCAGCAAAAGATACGTGTTTTACTTTAGTCTCAGGTATTTGTTCAGAATTCATCACCGTCGTTCCGTTTACGCTACTGACTATACTCTTGTCATTAGTAGGAACCACTGTCTCTATTCTAAAATTATCACTGCCAGCATCTTTTAAGTGTACGTTACTTAGATTATCACTAACATTATTTTGATATTGAGGATCACAAGCGTCAAAAGCAGTGCTTAAGTTTCTAAGCGTGCTCTTGGTATGCGGATAAGTATTTGTACTAATGTTCTCCTTCTGTTCCAGAGATGTTTCACCTTCTTTCTGTTTCCCTGACAATATGCATGGTGTCCAAAATAAATGTTCGTTGTCGTAAATACGCATTAATAATTCCGAACAGTCTGTTCTGCATATTGTAAGCTTTGGTGGTGGTGGGACACCACACAGGAGTTTGCTGATTCTAGCTAATAACTTGCTATCAGACTTGGCGACCAAGTCGGCTTGAGAAGGCTTTTGAGGACTAGCTATTGGTCGTGGTTCTATTACTGGCGGTTCGTTGTGCTCTTCGTTTTCATGGTCACTGTCAAACATCTCTGGACTAGAGATGTTTGCAAGTTCTTTATTAGGTGTGGTATTTCCATCTTTATTGGTATAACAGCAATCCATGGCATTGTCTATGTAAAAGAATGTACAAATGGTAAGATCAATTTTTGATGAAATTTGTAACGTTTTCAGAACTGTGTGAATAAAAGAAGTGGAAAACGATGTTCTTGAGAATAGATTAAAATCTAATCATTAGATTATAATACAGGATGTTTGCCAAACACTTCATCTTTTAAAAAAAATCGTAAACAATTCCTAGAAAGTGAGATAATCTATTTGAATTGAAGTACTTATCATAATTCCTTTATCAGATAAAAATTAATATAATATTGCTACGTCACAATCTTCGAAATAACTGAATAACTGTTACGAAGATATCACGGTGGGTAGAAGGAACGCATGGTAAAAAGGAGAATTAAATATTCGAGTTTACTTACGTCTCTTTTAGATCGAAGTTCAAGTACTTCACGTTCAATAATTTACTGGCCAGCAGCCAAAATTGTCTGTTTTGATTCCTTTACGCTAGAAATACAGTACTCTACGCATAACGTCGTTATCATACGTCATACTCTCATGACGACGACGAGGCAGCATGTCACATCCTTAGGGCATTTTTCCATTTCATCCGATTTCACCAATACAATACGACTTCATGTGAATGTGTATTTTTTGTTCAATCCACTTATTTTAGATATTACTTGATGATATAAAGTCGGTTCGAGAGATTATGAACGGTTTTTAAACATTATTAAATACCGTGACAAGACTGCAAATGCTAGGAATGCTGACTACTGTTTCAGCACAGCTGTTTACCCCTAATTCTAGCTACGGTCATGCGACTCATTTAACCAAAAACGATTCTTGGCCTCTGTATCACATATACGCATATACAAAAATGAAATTAGGATAAGTATGCCATGAATATGAATATGAATATTTGAATATTATCTTTTGTTCACTGTTGACAGTTTGATAGATGTAGACAATTTCTATCTTTTAATTTATTTACTGAAGTATACGAAAACTTACTCGAAAGCCTGAATCCCGATTTTAATGAAACACGACTCAAACCAAAGCTACAGATAAGAGGAGTATAAGTTCTTTAGAAAATGACGGAATTGTTTATCTATAATTGGAATTATATAATGAAAATTTAAAGCCAGAACTGTGACAGTGTGACTGTGCCTGCGGCTGGGGGACTCATCGGCTTATGTTGTCCGCATAGTTTGCGCGTGCCATGTTAGCTCCGATGGTGGCTTCTACTGATACTGACGTGTATAAATTGAAGTCTCGACTAGTTTATAGTTACAGTGTGACTCGTAAAATGACAAACGATTAGTGTATCTCCCAGAGGAATATATCGTGTACCGCGGTTCATTATGTCCAATAGGTGTTCCAACAAAAATAATATGGAACGAATATTAAAACACATTAACACCGTTAATTTCTACATTGCATCTGCTATAGCCAGGTATTTATGTTACTAATTATAAATCTTATCGTATTACGAAAATAACTTAGAATCCGATTGTCAGTCGAGGACTAAATAACACTTGCTGGACGCGCCTCTCTCTAATTGTTAATATACTGTTCACGTATGCGAAGATTCAGATACACTATATAAATATTACATTGATAATCGATGATGTCGTACACTAAGTTACTCTAACATAGACTTTGACTTTTTGTTTCGAAACACAATTATATTACTCATTATTACGCGCATAGACTCATTAACAGTTCCCTTATCAGTTTTTTATCTCAGTTTCCATTCGAGCATCCGTTCATTGTCATGATAATTTCATTTCAGGATACCAATAGCGACAATCATAATAAGTAGAGAATAAAATCTACGAATTTTGGAAGGGCCAAGGTTCTACAGATGTGGATTGTCAAGGTCTCCAAGGCTACATGATAAGCTGTTTTGTATTCCGTGAATGTATATGCTGAATCACACGTCAATTTCTATCATTTATTCATAGTACTCTTATGAACTTTCAATGGCACTGCGCAACTTAACGTTCGACATATGTAACACAACATATGACATACGTAATATAAATTAATATAAAGATCATCCTGAGGGATTGTACTTCGACGAAAATGGGGAGTAAACTGAGAACCTTTGGTTTACTTTTATACAAAGATGTATTAGTAAGAAAGAGGCATTGGAAGGCAACAATATTTCTACAATGTTTAATACCCCTCGCCACGTTTATATTAATACAGTCGATAAGAGACTTGACTGTGCAACCACCTCTTGTGATCAACGAAAGTACATATTACCCTATAGAAACCAAAGAGTCGTTACCAATGCTGAACAACGAGTTCTCGTTTTTATATTATGTACCGAGGAATTCGTACATACGAAACGTTACAGAGAGCATTCGAATGTGTCTGCAACTGCCATACAACAATGTAGTTGGTTTTTTGAACGAGGACGAGATGATCGATACTTATATAAAGATCCAAGCGAAATTTGGAATGTCACAGGTGGTGGGACTTGTATTCGAGAATTACAATGCCAGCACCACTGACATAAGATACAAAATTAGGCACTCATTCAAAATTCCGCCTGCCCTGTTTCAAAATATATTAGATGAATACTCGTTCAGCTCGCATTATATATACATAAACGCTATACCGTTCGCTCAATTGCAAATGTGCGTAGACGAAACTCTTATAAATCGAATGACGTCTCGTCCTATAATGGACAGGCAGGTACGAAGAATCTATGGAATAAGAAGTTACGTCTCGCTTCATTTTCTACTATTTATTTCAGGTGTCCATACAAAGAATGCCCTATCCTCCGTACGTCAAAGTGGACACAGGCGATACGATATTGAGAACAGTTTTCTGTATGTTCTCAGTTATTGCTTTCGTAGTTCCACTCGCCCTAGAAATTAACTATTCGTCGAAGGAGAAGCAGATCGGAGTCCACGCTCTAATGGCTATAAACGGAGTATCGCAATATCAGAACTTACTCAGCTGGTTGATCACCAGTGTCGTATTCAGCAATTTATACATTATACCAATACTAATATTATTCAAGAATACTTTCTCGGAGAACGCTGTACCGTATTTATATCACAGCAACACGTTTATATTCTGGCTAATACTTGTAGTGCATATTGCTCATCTAACGTCGTTCGGTATGCAAGCAGTTGCATACATCTCGAATTGTAAGCTTTTTTCTCAATTTTCGTTTTGTTTTTATTTTTACAGAAGAATTAAAAAATAATTCAAAAGTTTAGGGTTAAGAAGTAACCGGAGAATGGATAACATGTAATTCATTTTTGTTTCCAGCACGTTATCTGGCAATAACGTTGTCAATTATTTATACTATTTCTTTCTCACTTCACGGAACTTTTATGAAAGAGCAAATGTTTAGAGTGATACCGTTCCTGGGACTAGTGTTCCCAGATATACTGCTCTACAGGTTCCTCGAAGAACTGAACGCGTATGAAACGCAATGTGCGTAAACCCTTTGAAAACTCCTAGTAGATTTCTTGTATATACTAAATGTTTTAAATGTTTTTCAGTAACTGGTATTCAATGGTCTAATATGTTTTATACTGGAGATGCACAATACGGTAGTACCGGGAGCGTAGGATTCATACTGATCTTCTCGCTATTGGGGGCTATCATATATTTCACTCTTTGTGTATTTATTAATGAATTAATTCCGGGAAAATACGGAGTTCGCAAGGAGCCGTTCTTTTTCAAAGTACTTCCTTTATTATATAGCGATGATGAAAAACAGTTTCAGAGATGTTAAATGTAAAGATTCTGTTTTTCTAGTATTTAAAAAAGAACAAAGTGAGCCTCGACGAGGATATAGAGGACATGGATTTCGCTAACGTTGATAGTGAGAACTTCGAACCCGTCACGCGAGGTGTACTCACTCCTGGGATTCAAATTCGTAATCTCAAGAAGACGTACAGGAAATTTGGTTTACGAAAAACGGTTAGTCGATCGATGTAATCGATTAGCGTTTGCGATGATTATAATTGTTTTAATGATTATTTTACATTAGACAGTTCAAGCTCTAAGAGGCATTTCGATAGATTTATATAAAGGCCAGATAACGGCTTTACTGGGGCACAACGGGGCTGGAAAAACTACGATGATGTCTATTTTAACAGGTAGAAATTTTGTTCCCTTCTTTATTTAATTTTAAATTATTGAATGTAAATATTTGAACCAGGTATGGTAAGTCTGACGGAAGGAAAAGTTCTCATAAACGGGAAAAATGTAATGAATGATTTACAAGATATTCGGAACGATCTGAGTTTATGCCCTCAAGAGAATATCGTTTTCCCCCTTTTAACCGTATCCGAGCAACTAGAGTTTTTCGCTATGGTAAGTATTCGTACAATATCACGAAAATTGCCCGAGTTTGGAATAAGTTATCGCAGGCATTTAAGTTTTTTTACATTCCGTATGTTCTCTCAGTTAAAAGGTACAACTAAAACGCGAAAGGAGATCCGACAGAACGTCAACGTCTTGCTCGAGAAATTAGGTCTGTTTGGTAAGAGAAACGTTCTTCCCTTGAAGTTATCGGGAGGACAACAGAGGAGATTATGTCTCGGAATGGCTCTGATCGGCGATGTTAGTACGATCATCTTAGACGAGCCAACGTCGGGAATGGATCCCGAGACCAGGAGAGATATATGGGACCTGATATTGAAAATGCGTGGTCAGAAAACGATTTTAATCAGCACGCACAGTATGGAGGAGGCCGACATTCTCGGAGATCGGATCGCTATTGTGGACAGAGGACGATTGAAATGTTATGGTACCCCGATGTTCCTAAAGAAGCAATACGGCTACGGTCACATAGAAGTCACCCTGTCAACGAAATCGTGGTGTAACTTGGAGAAGATCCTAAGCAAATTCGATCCCAGAACGCAACAAATAAGCGTGGACAGCGATAAGATAGTTCTCAGCGTACCGAACTCCGAAAATTTGCCCGAATGTCTGGACAAAGTCGAGAAGGAGAAGAAGACTCTGGGCGTAACGGGGATTGGCGTGTCGTTGATAACTCTGGAAGAAGTATTTCTGAAAGTGATCAACCGAGAAGAGGAAAAACATCTGAACGAATTGTTCTGCCCTCCGTCACAGAAAGTAGAGGGCTGGGATTTGACTATGCAAATGATTTTGGCACTGTATCACAAGAAACTGGTTTATGCTAAGAAGAATTTACTCACTATTCTTCAAATATTGCTTATACCGATTTTATCCGCTATATTGATCGGGTTCAGTTATAGCCCGGCCACCGATTCGACAAATGTGTTTCCGTACGAGCTTGATATGTATAGAAATCCGAGAGCCGTATATTCGTCTGAGAATAGAACTATCGGCACGTGTTACGAGAAGTCTGTGAATTACGCCGGGGGGATTGCAGAAGACGCACGAAACATGAGCGTCTCGGACGCTTTGTTGGATCGCGCGCGTGAAGACATTGCACGATACCGCAACAATTATGTCGCATCTGTAGAATTTAATGTCTCCGATACCGGAACCTTGCTTGCTAATGCTTTGTATTCCGGGACGGCGATCCACAGCGTGCCTTTGACTATAAATTTATTGTCGAACGCACTGATCAAAAGTGTAGCCGGTGACGAATATTCCATTCGAGTTTCAAGTCAGAAATTACCGAATTCATTGATGGAAACGATGCTGTCAATGCCGGGGGCCGAATCGTTGACAAGAGTATTAATATTCTGTTGCTTCTTCTTCCCCGTTGTTGCTCTCTTCATTATCCACCCTTTCGAAGAAAAGGAAACAAAAATGAAACAGCTTCAAAGGATGACCGGCGTATCCTCTTTCGTATACTGGCTCACTATGTTCGTTTTTGATCTTGTCATTTTAACGTTATCAATTCTTATAATCGTGACAGTGTTTTACTTGATGGACGTTATATTGGATGTACGTTTATACTACAAAACAGAAATAAGTAAGATACCATGCATTTGATTCGCAGGTGTAACTGAACAGAAATTTATTTATGTATTTTTCCAGTGATAATGATATTGCTGTTAATGCTGTTCGGCATGAATTCGTTGTTCGTAACATACATTTTCAGTTTCATTCCTAAGTCGAGGAACACCGTTCACATTACTCTAAGCTTGCTACCAGGCGGATTGGGTAAGCGTTTTGCATAAATTGTGTAAATTTTGAAAATAAGCAAATTGTAATAATATTTTTTATTTCAGTCATCGTTCAGTATCTTTTACACGAAGTGATATACGGTTACAATAAACTGAGAGTCCTCCACTCTATTCAGAAACGACTGTTCCGTTTAATACCTTACGTGAGCGTGTTCCACGGTCAATATGCTTTCTTCGAGGTAGCTCTGCAGAACTCGAGGTGCCGTCGATTGCCTGACAAGCTTCTAGAAGCAGCATGCTTAGTCTACAAGGATCGTTGCTGTGGTACGAATCGAGCAACACGATATAATGAAGTCTAACGTTTTAATAACGAGGGAAATGAAAATCCTTTCAGATTTGAATTGTACGGACGGAGTGTGTGAAACTTATCTACCTTACTTTGCTGATTTCAAGAGCGACATGAACTTGGGAGAGTGCGTCGTCTACTTATCGATCACGCCGCTCTTATATTTCGCTATATTAATTATGCTAGAGGAACAGATACCTAAGAAACTATACGCGAAGATGTTCAAGCAAAATCTCAGGGATGTGGCTGATATAAAAGATGATCAGGTGAAGAAGGAGAAGCATGTTGTGGCGTCAGAGATTAGAAAATTGGAGAATCGTGGTAAAGTATCCGAATAAATTCATCATATATCCAGAGATTACTATAAATACTAATATAATCTGGATACAGTGAGGAATAGTGTCGACGAACCAAGGATTGGAGGTCCTATCCTCGAAGTCAACTACTCAGAAAGTCCAGAGAAAGTCAACGACAATCTATTTCTGGTTTACGAATTGAGTAAACGTTACGGTAGCTTGGTGGCAGTGCAGGAAATCAGTTTTCGAGTAAAGCAAGGGGAGTGCTTTGGATTGCTCGGCGTTAACGGCGCTGGGAAGAGTACCACGTTCAGAATGTTGACCGGCGAGGAAATACCAAACAGTGGTACCATGTACTTAGGAAGATCCGAGATTCAAACTGATAGAGAAACTGTAATAATCAATTTTTCTTTATTTCCTTTACACACGTACTCTTCGTTTCTGATGTATAACTTTTTCCCCAGTATTTAAAGCAAATGGGATATTGTCCGCAAACTAATGCAATGCTGAATTCGTTGAATTCGTTCGATCACTTGCGACTGTTTGCCATGCTTCGCGGTATTCCCAGATGCAAAGTGGATCTCGAAGTCAACAAATGGATCAATCGACTGAGTACGTATATCTTTACTGGCAAACAATTTCTAGGCAGAGTCGAATAAAATTGATTCGTTCTATCAGGTTTGACCGCATGTATGCATCAACCGAGCTCTACTTATAGCGGAGGTAACAAACGACGTTTGAACATCGCAATGGCACTTATCGGGAATCCAACGCTCGTTCTTCTGGACGAGCCAACATCGGGTGTCGATCCCGCGGCAAGGAGATCGCTCTGGAGTATACTTAAGTCGTGTCAAGCAACGGGACAAGCTATCATACTTACTTCTCACAGGTATTTCACTTGATCGACAGTAACACGTCTGGAAATTGCACAATTACTGTTTGATAAAAAACTATTATTCGGAACAGCATGGAAGAATGCGAAGCTCTGTGCAATAGACTAGTCATTATGGTGAAAGGACAATTGGTTTGTATCGGTGCTAGCCAGGAATTGAAGCAACGATTCGGTGCTGGTTACGATATTCATATTAAACTGAACCCCAGTCGCACGGATGGCGATGTGGACAATATAAAAAGACTTATGGAATCTAAGTTATCCTGCGAGATTCGTGATGAAAATTTGGTATGATCTATTGAATTCAACCGATTGACAATTTCTAAATCTAATGATCGTGTCTCCTCGACTGATGGTCTTCGTATTTTCAGAGTTCCATCGCATTTCACGTGAACGATACCGGGACTACGTGGGAGAAGATGTACAGTGCGATGTACGATTTAAAAAGACAATACGGCTGTATCGAAGATTTCGCCGTTCTCTCCGCCACGCTGGAGCAGCTATTCATTCAGTTCGCCAGAGGAACCGAATCAACGAATCCAAACGCGCCTACAGACTCTGTCTAAATGGTGAACTTGACTTTTGTGAAATGAACTTTTTTCGAGTTTAAGGACGTTCTACCGATAATGGATTAAAAATTCAGAAGTTGGTGTAAATTTACACACTTGTCAATAATACCTTCATAAAGGTACAGTCAAATTTTGGTAAAGTCAAGCACACGCCGCTAGCTATCAGACGGCTGTACGACATACATTTGTATGTGTATGTAAGGCTGTGTACAGCTTTGACTAGGTATGCATTGGTAGAACCTCCTTAACACTAGAACTACCAACCAGTCGAAATGACCGTAGTTCTAGTATTACCTTTTTAACGGTATTGTTCAAGTTACAGATTTGTATCAGAGATGTGCAAAAGGCCGGCCCCTATTTTGTATAAATACGTACATTAAATTATTCTATGAATATAAATATATTTCATCTTTCCATTTTGTTATTAGAGAACATAAATATATTTAAATAAAAAGAAATATTTATAACGACTTGTAAACCATGATAACTGTGCGTACTAATAAAAGAATGAATAAAAGTACAAGGGATTTACTATTATTATTATTATTAGACTGCGGATTTTATGTATTTAAAAGGAAACTGGGCGTGCAAAAAATATAGGAAACATCAAAACCAGAGTCTACAATGGAATATTTAAATGATAAATGAAACTGTGATTTAAAACAGATTTTTTAATGTTTTATTTTACATAAAAGTCCGCAGTTTAATTATTACTATAGTTCTGAGAAGGTAACGTTATAAAAGTGAACGCAAGTTTAATAAGATATTCATATTTTATATAAATAAAAAAGTTATATAAACGATACATCCTTATATACATACATCCGCCTGTAAATGATATTACCGTGGAACAAGATCGATCGTGTAATATGCAACGACTTGTACGTCATCTAGTAATGGTAGCCGCCAGAGCTCGGTTGGTATGAGCTTGGACCCTGATAAGAACCACCGCTACCACCGCCTCCTCTTCCACCACCTCCTGCTCCTCCTGCTCCTCGGCCACCACCGCTGCCACCGCCTGCATAATACACAATACGTAATAAGCCAAAAGAGTGGAATAATTAAAATACTACATGAATGAAATTAAATTATCATCGACACCGTTTATGTCATCAGGTACTCACCGTAACCACCGCCTCCTTGAGAGTATCCTCCGCCACCACCGCCCTGTCCACCGCCGCCGCCTCCTGTAAAAAGTTAAATAAGCAATCGTCAAAGAAATTGTAAAGATTATTATTAATAAAATTGATTATTCCATGAAACTGACCGTAGCCACCGCCTCCTTGGGAGTATCCACCACCACCACCACCACCGCCTTGTCCACCACCGCCGCCTCCTACACAAGAAGAATAGCAATTATAATTAATTTTAAATTTAATATTGGATCGTTTTGGTTTTAACAAAAATTTTTTCGAATATAATTATTAGACGAAGCTCACCGTAACCACCCCCTCCGCCCTGTCCACCGCCGCCGCGGCCTCCACCGGAACCACCGTCCTGATTCTCGCCCCTAGCTTCCGCCGCAAGTGCTAATTCGACACCTCGTTGAATCTCCGGTGGTATCGGCGGCGGGGTAGGAAGATGCGCGCCCTGAGGATGGAAACCTTCTTCGTCCGCGGTGTAAGTGATGCTGTACTGCACGCCGTCGGGCCCGGTGTACGAGTATGATCCGCTCACCGCCTCGGCGTTACCTGAGGAAACGCGCGTGTGAGCATACATATCTTGCGGCAACAGGTGGTCGAGGATTGCGACACGTGCCGAGAATTTTTGCGGCTTTCCAGCTTGTTAATACCGATCATTGTTCGGTAATCACTCATCGCGAATCGAAATTGGGACATGCGATACGTGTACACGTTGCCTGTACTTTTTAAGGTACCTTATATAAAAACAATAACGAATCATTGGAATTTTAACAGTTACCAGATATTACATTAATAAAACACT